GATATTGTTTTAGCTATGGCAAGGTGAGCATGCATTTTTTAAATCCAAAAGAGTATCATTAAGAAGAAATAAGATGGGCATTCATGCAGCCAAGAGAATTAAAAATTATGGTAATTTGTTTGATGTTGGACGAGACAATTTTAAATTCTAGCTAAATTACCTTAATGCTAATTCTGGACAGTTTCCGAATAAAAAAATTTTACAACTAGTTATGTGTTTACACTTTGATGATTGATGAATTACTTAGAGATTGTTTTTGCAGATTTGCGTATTTTAATCGACAGAGATAGACAATTAATACATAATTTAGGCAGAAACATCAAAGTAAGCTACTTGATAAAATAGGCTTATAATTAAGATAGAAATGAAACAAAAAGTTATCAATCTTTACTTTGAACGTGAAAATGCATTACTCTTGCTGCAAATCAAGTGATAAAAAGCAAAATAAAACACATCAACCTCAAATTTTAGTTTATCAAAAATATACTATCTATTAAAAATGTTGACTAGATCTTTTATTAAATTAAAGTCAACTGGTGTCTTGGTCAAAATTAATACTTTATAGAATTTTAGGAGTCATTGTGCTATTCTGCAAGAAGAGCACAATGATTTACGAGTACTTACGAGGAATTTTGTTACTTGAAATATTTTATTATAAAATGTTGTGGTTATAGCTTATTTCTAGTTAAGTTAAGTTTAAAGAGTGTCTTATGTTGTTTTTCATTTTAGAACTTTTGCAGAGTAATTTTGTGGATTATGATGATTATAGGTTTTTAACTTAGCAAGTTAAAACCTATTCACAATTTAGATTTTGTTGTAACTTTAAAGATTAGCAAGCCAACGCTCTTGATAAACATTATAGGATTTTTATTGATAATGATTTTTTGAGTTTTATGTACGTAGCTTGCATAGGCAAATCTTGTGCTTATGTGCTGATGTTTTTAATGTATGTTTGTGTTGACGACTTGATGTGGATTTCTTGGGGATACTTGACTTATTCTTGTGAACGCAGTATCATATTCCACTAGTTTTATTCTTTGTATCTAGACACAAAAAATGCTAAAAAATGTCATCACTTTTGCTATTGTACATGATTGAAATCATTCAATTAATTTATAGGTGAATTCTTTCAAATGAATATCCAACTTTCTGTCTATCTTAGCTAACTATACTTTACTTTAATCTTCTGTTTATGTGATACGGTTATTTCACAATTCACAACACAATTTCAGTAAGTTCTTTCTTCAATCCATATAGTTTGTGAGTTGAAACTTTAACCTCTCAAATTACATCCTCTACATTTGACTTGGTGATACAAATAGTCACATATGTTACTCTTCCAATCCTAGCTTCATATCCTCCTTGTTTGAAACTAATTTTACCATCTTCTTCTAAAGTCATGTAGTTGATAGGATATATTGAATTATAGAACAAGACATCAAAATACATCTTCTTCTTTTTCATTGAACTCTTTATTTTTGATGATCATGGACATCTTCTTTTGCCTCCACTTTTAAAAATTGACATTGCATATATATCTTCTGCATGATTGACATAAACAAAGTAAGTGTAGCTTTAACTACCAAAAATTTCATTCTCATTATATTTATTAGATTTATAATTCCTATCAAGTATAAATACATTCACATTATAGTTAAATATGGTTTGATTTTAATTGCAAAAGAGATATATAGACTAATGATACTTAGCTATGCATTTCTTGCACGAATGCATTTATGCGATTAACGCATGTTTAATGCCTCCCTAGTCATGTGAAAAAAAAATCAAGTCAAAAGGAGTAAAATCTTTTAAGAATCATAAAACACCATAATACATGGGATGATATCTTGTAGTTGAAAGTGATGACGACAAATTATGACAAGAAAAAAGATGAAATTGATGAGGAAGGCGTTGACTTTTCACACATTGTTTGATTTTGATATGTCAACATGGTTTCAACATGTGAAGAATAATACCAGTGAATATATTATTAATCCGATCAGGGGTAAGATTAAGAGGAATATCATGTACTGACTGAACAAGCTCTCCTCAATTTTCATTGCATTGGATTACTTATGCAGAAACTGAAAAATGGAGAAGGTATGAGGATCCGAATTACGTGTATAGATGAAATCAGATGGTATACATTACACATGAATTTTCAACTGATGAATGGGATAACTAAAAGACATAAGAATCAAACTTAAACAGTTTGAGAAGCAAGAATTGAAGGCCAACAAGAAGGAGAAGGATGCAAACATCCTTCAATCTCAACAAATTTTTTCTCAACGAAAGGTTTGAGTACTAGAAGTCAAATTTGGTGAGTCCAAAAAGAAGCTCATCGACAAATTTGAAGAATTGAAGCTTCAATCGTGAGAAGTGAACGTGGCTACACATTAGAATTGAAATTGGCATAAAAACAATTGAGATATATTTTTGTCCAATAAGATGAAGCAAGGTTTGAGTTGCTAAAGCAGCAAGCAATAGTGATGAAGACTGCTTACAGATCAGCGGACTATTAGAAAACAATGTATGGACAAAAAAAATGGCACAAGATTTTCAAGAAGCAATGACTATTTATTAGGATGTGATTTCAAAGCAAGTTAGAGAGTTACATATGAGCATCAATGATTCTCGATGAAAGTTGAATATGCAATCTGATAATGCTAATACCTTCTAAAAAGCATAATGTACGTTGGCATCAATTTAGCAATTTTCATGGAAAGTATTGATTGTATATAATATGACAAATATTAAATTCAATGATAAGAATACCAGAGATTCAAATCTAAAAGTTTAGTATATATTTAGGCTTGAGAACAATAAAGTATGTTTATAAAACTGTTCATTTCTCTCTTTTCTTATATTCAAATGGAGACAATATTATCAATAAAACACATTTCTATTTGGATAATGATTTTTAGGAGGTTTAGTATATATTCAGGCTCGAGAACAAAAAAATATGGTTAGAAAAATGTTCATAACTATTTAATCTTCAAGTCAAATGGAGAGAATATTATCAATAAAATACATTTTTGCTATGATGATGATTTTTAGTAGGTTTTCCTTTCCTCACTTTCATGCTAGAATACAAAACTGTTTCATGCACGTAAATTCAATAATCCCAAAAAATTCGCATTCTTGATCGCCACAAACATCTTTTAATGTATGTTTAATCCATAGACTCCCATGACATCTTACATGGATGGCACCGAAAAACTACCTACTTTGATAGAAACTATGTTTACCTTGAAAAAACTTAAATATATTCGTACATTTTAATTTTTAGATCTAGATGAAAATGCCACTTTTAATGAGGTCTGGGCTAACATGATTACTAAACTCAATCGATATCTCGATTGAATGTTTTTTGGAATTGCACTTCGATTGAATTGTAAAAAATGCCACCTTTGCCACAATAAAAATTGGGTCGATGCCACAATTAAGCTTTTTCCTATAGGTACTCTTTAATTGCAATTGAACTTTAGGACGTAAATTTTCAAGAGTTCGCAAGCACTGCCTAAAGTTTATGAAGTGCTTGCTTGACAACAGGTGAATGTTATTATACCAAGCAAGCAAGATATCGCATTGCAGTCAGTAAGTGATTGGAAAGAGAATCCTTGTTTTTTTGTTTTGAGCAGATTGTGGACAAAAATCAAAATAATGCATGATCGCCTGATGTATGTAAGTTTTGAAAGAAAAGATACACCTTGAAGGTTTTCTAAAACTCTGATGTAAAACTAATCTGGTCATGAAACCAAGTTTCTCTTCATTCCTAGGATCGAAGACATGTGATATTATTCATCTTCAACTGAGGTTTTTAGGAGGAATACAATTCACGGCTCAGTTTTGGAATTTGAATTTGAATTTTGGAATTTGGCACTATTCAGTTGAAGTTTTATATACTCATGGTTAGTATCAAGAACCTTGAACTCATTTCTTCTCAAAGGATTAGCTCTTTGTGCTTTGAGTATCTTCACGGTGAATAATCATGTGACTTGTTCATCGATTCCTCTAAATTCTTGTTAGCTTTCGATGACTATAGTTGTTCTTTAGACATAACATGAGAGCGGAACCTAAGTTAGACACAAACTAGAAACAACCCTGCCTGTATTTCTGGTGAAATGATCTCCATTTCTTATGGTTTCAAGATTGCCACATAAATTTTTTAATTCAAATGCCACTTTTAATAATTTTGGGTGCCACAATTAACGAAAGGTGGAAAAGCCACTTTTAATGAGGTCTGTGTTAGCCGGATCTTACGATAGTGACAAGACCTCATTGATATACTTACTGTCAAGATCTTATTCTAGCCCACTCAATTATTTGGCTCGGATAAAGTATTAATTAAGTTCAAGATTGAACTTCTTCTTTACACTTGGAATAAATGAACTTCTTGTCATAATTACTAATGAGTAATTATGACAGCCTGACAGCCTGCTTACATATTGCCATACCTACCACAAACCTTTCATTTGGTGACTCTTCAAGTAGATTTAGATTCAGTCATATACACTTGCGTACGAAGCACGTAGTCGGAGAGGGAGGTTATACATAAATCGTTAAATATATCAAGGCCGTGGGTCCCACGGCCTTATCAAGACCTGCAAAACACATAACAATTTATACATTCACTGAACAGGAAAAAGATCATAAAGACCATATATGAGTTTCTGCAATCATGACAAGAACCTCTTTTGTTTCGCTCATCAATCGAAAGTCAAAGCATGCTTTTCAACGAAAGGAACTGAATGAGGCATTTTAGATCTAGACAGAACCTACCCTTGTCATCGAAGGGATAGCCCGGATGTAGTCTTGTTCGGGCTTTACCGAGTAGAATGATCACGGTTGGTCACGACTTTCGAAAAGTCCCTGTTATTTCACATGGAGGAGTTGGAGAAGGAGAAAGAGAGTGTTGACGATTATTATGTTCGGCTGTCTTTTCTATAGTTCGGCATATACTTTTGACGTCCTGCTTACATATTTCTCAGGTTTCTATGGTGACTAAGGGGTTCGTTAGATTCTTTTCTAAGAGAAAACTCACTCCACTTCAACAAATGAGCTGAGTTAAAACTCAGAAATTAAGTTTTACCGCTTTAAACTTCTCTCCACTATAGCCCCACATTAAAACGTTGAACTTTGAAAAAAGAACCAGCTGTATACTTGAGTTATTCGCGCAAACTTTATTATTATTGCGGTAGCACTGTATCAGGGAACTTCTCTCGAGAGGAAGCAAGCAGTGACTGAATCTGATACTCAAAGCTAGAATGATGATTATGGAGCATCTTGAAGCACTTTTCAACACTTACTATTCACACTAGTGTACATGTTATTGTATCAGTCGATCTTGCACGACCGACCAGAATTGTATAATACACATATGAGGAGGTGGCCTGAGAGTATTTAGGAGTTCAGATGAGTAGAAATAGCTGTGTTGAAACGTAGGGGATGCAGTGGAATGAAAACTTGCTCTTCGGATCTGGTGTAATCAAGTAAGTGATTCTCGATCATCCAAGAGTTTCATGTTTTGCCATCCTCAAGCGAAGATGATTCTCGACTAAATTTCTAATTCGCAGATACTGCGACTCTGATCTTGGCTCTGCTGGCCTCTCTCCGCATGGATATCAACACATTCTCAAGTGGTGGAATTCTCCTCGAGCACAGACAGGTGCTCAACAATGTTGGAGCACAGACAGGTGCTCCAACTCGATTGGACATTTCTCGAAACAGTTTTCCCTCAGATTTCATATTTGGAGTTGCATCGTCTGCATACCAGGTTATCTCAAAAGCTTTTCCCTGCAGTTGGATTGCGTCATAAGAAATCTAGTGGAACCATCTCTTTCTCAGATTTTTAGTGCCTTCTGAAAGTGTGTCATGTTGCAATTGTGAAATTGTGACTCTGAAATTGAAATGTGGACTCTGAAATTGTGAGGAAACAAGACTCTTGAACTCGAAAACCGTCTAATTTCTAAGATGAAATAGATAAAGTTGGAGTTTATTTTATTCTCGAAAACGAAGATTCTAATCAATATATAATTTGGTTCATGCGACTGCGATCTGATGATCATTGTTGGCTTTGCCAACAATTTGGATTGATTCTCAGTAGTTTACAGCAGCCTAAAGTATATATTAGATAACGTTGGACTAAACCCGCTAAACGACTCTTGCTGTGGTTGCATGACATTTTTGCAGATAGAAGGAGGTGCTCTTGAAGGAGGAAAGGGTCCATGCACTTGGGACACAGAAACAAGCAAGCCTGGTAATAAGACGACGTAAATGTGATATTGAATACCAATCTTGCTCATATAGCCAGCTGCGGTTTATCTGAAGTAATCTAATCCCGACATCCTTTTTCTCGCACACATGATTACAGAACACCTTAAATTCGCAGGAACATACGCAGTAGTTATATTATGAAACCATTCGGTATGATATCTTGAGGTCTTGCATATATAGAGTACATTCAGCTTTGGTCAACCGTGCTTACGATTGAATCCACTGGTTCAAGTATACCAGTGGATTAACTAAGGCGACCTTCCCGTTTGTCTCGTAAGTATCATCCACTGAATATGGCCTGCTTCCCGCATACTTACAGGAAGGATACTAGATGGGAGTACGGCAAACGTTGCTTGTGATAGCTACCACAAATATCAGGTACAGAATCGATATGGACTAGCCCTCAGATAATTCACTGCGGCTTCCTCGACATGTGATGCGAAGGAGAACTTGCTCAGAATGGATGATTGTGGTGATGGTGGGAGATGTGCGATGTGAATTCGGATCTTGTGTCGTTTTCTCTTGAGGGGCAAACCAACCATTGTGATGGAGTATCTCGTGCAGCTAGTGTAACAGTGAGATTGACGGCTAAATTACTGAGCCCGTTTCATCCAAATATATGGCCATCTCGTCATGCTGATCAAAGCTATCGTCAGGGTCTGAATCTGTTTATACTTTATGATACTCTCAATGCAGGCAGACGTGGATCTTATTCACAACATAGGGTATGACGCCTATCGATTTTCCATCGCATGGAGTCGCATATACCCTGGTATAGAGGACTCCATAAGTTGTAGCTGGAGTTAAACTACGTGCTTCGTGTAGCTTAGATTCTTCCTTTCTGTCATATTCCCCTTCTTGTATTTATCACAAGAATTTTCAATATCGTTCTTTTTATAACTGACTGAAACATGAGCGGTCTGACATTGATTATAGTAATATGGAGCATATTCCCACACTGGAGAACGATGTAGTAAACCGCTGGAATCCTCCTCAAAATTTTTTGAAGTACTGGTTTGATGTGCAGAGGGTGTTGGAGAAAGACCCAATCAAGAAGGTCTAGACTACTACAACCGTTTGATTGACAGTCTTCTTAAAAGTGGTACATAACATTCCCATTCTCTTTTTTATCGTGAGTTCGCCGGTGATATGCAAACTCAAGTGGAAGTATGTGTTGATTGTTGCGTTGGAGATGTAACAATCAACACTGAAGATGGTGGAGTAGAACAATGGCCAGAAAACAGCCTAGAAAATTATGTCTGGAACTTCTCCGAAGCTTAAAGTTGATGTACTACAGGGATCAAGCCGTTTATCACCCTCTGTCATTTCGACTTGCCTCAAGCTCTGGTCGACAAGTTTGGAGGCTGGCATGGCTCGGAAATTGTGTACGCTCTCTGCTGCTTCACAAAATTCAGCATCATTGAAGAGTTGAATCTTTGTTTCGCTTCGTCTTATAAGTTGGAAGTGGGAACCTCCGGTCACAAGATTTCAATTGCACCACGTAAGGTGCTTCTTTGTTCACAATAGTTCATGTACGTAAGTTCGTGACGAAGCTCTCATCTGTTTCTTCACGAGAATACAATTTGCTTTTATCCTGCAGACCAGCGTTTGCTGCATACGCCGAAACTTGCTTCAAATCATTTGGCGATCGTGTTCGTCATTGGATCACAATCAACGAGCCGACAATTGACCTAGCATTCAATGCTGGCGTCTCGGCGGCAATGGAAGCTAATGAAGTAACACGATATAAAGCTGGACACAATATGATCCTTGCACATGCACATGCAGCCAAAATTTATCGCGAAAAGTATCAGGTTTGTCTCACAATCCGACACTAATGTCTGTCACGAACAGCAAACTTTGTACTCAAAACTGTTCATCACGGAGCTCATGTAACTTACGTTTCAGTCTTATCGATTCTTGAGGTGCCCAGGGATCATCTGATGGTGTCATAGGGATTTCCTTGGATATACAATGGTTCGAGCCTCTTACAGATTCGCCAGAAGATATCGAAGCATCCGAGACAGCCTTGGCTTTCCGTGGTGGATGGTGCGTATAATTTGTACAATTTTAATTCGAATACCTTACAGGTTTTACTTTCGACAAGCCATAAGAATCGAATCTTGTTTGAGCGCAATGATGATGGTCAACCGGCAATATATCCGGGACAACCATTCTTCAATGGATGTCGTCAAATTTTTCATCACAGAGTCTGATGCTGATTGGTGCACTCATACTCTAGGATTTCAAATTTGCAAAGAGTAAAATAGACCTGACTGACGAACGGGTCCTGCGAGGATTCTTCACTGGAAGTCAAAGAAAACAAAGAAATTGTTGAATCTACATCTGTGTTGAAGCTCTTCGTGCAGGTTCCTGGACCCGTTCTTCCGAGGTGAATACCCTGCAGCGATACGCAAAACCTGGGGATATTCCCTGCCTTCTTTTACACCTGAAGAAAGTAGAATCGTGAAAGGCTCAGCAGACTTTCTCGGAGTAAACTATTATACTGCTTACTACGTCACTTCCAAACCGTGTGATGGGTTTTCAAACGAACCGGCTTTTCCCGTGACAATGCCCTCCTCTGTCTACGTCGGAGGTAAACCTCCAAGTTCATTCTGCCGAGGTCAATGTTTAGGTTCGATTCACGCATGAAACCAGAAAAGTGTTGTGATTAAAGACCGCAAGGTTGGGCGAAGCCCTAAACTGTTAGTATTCGAGCCTCGAAGCATCGGTACTGCCTCAGGCTAGTTGGAGGGATTGATCCAATTATACTACTAGGTACAAGCCGACGATGTGCTGCGGACTGAAGATTTACAGATCTTGTATCTTCACATTCTAATATGCTCAAGTTTCATTTGTATGGCCAACAGATACAAAGAATGGAGTTCTCATTGGCGCACAGGTTAAATTTCTTCTACCCTTGTTTTCCAGATCTCCTGGCAAATGTTAATATGGAAGAAGTGGTAGACGTGTACTTCATACCAGAGTTTTGCAAACCAGGGCCTTAAATAACTTCCTTCCTGTGCTGTCATTTATAGACGCCAACAGGGTTGAGGGCTTGTCCAGACGGGCTAGCAAGACTACTGCTGTTTCTGAAATCGAAGTACGGCAACCCTTTGATATACATCACGGAGAATGGTAAACCTCCTGTTTTGAGATCCAGCTCTAGAGCCTAGACTATTCTACGTTATTACCTCAATATGTGATGAGCTAATAAGAGAAGATTTCTGTAGCTTAACTGCAACTTATTTTGAAAAAAAAGTGGGCTGCATTTGTGGACCTTTCCCTCAAAGGACTGACCGACATGTCTCTGGTCAACTCATAGGTTACTCTGAGAAAAGAAATCCAGAAATGACTTTGGAGGAATCTTTACAAGACGGAGAGAGAACAGAGTTTTTCCGATCCCACATTCGTTCACTACTTGAAGCACACAAGTGAGTAGATTACATCCCTCATTAAGATGTGAGTTTGATGAGCTTTACCACCAAGTTTGCGTATCACATCACGTCCCTTGCCATCAATGTATTTTTTATGGTAGTGAGATGTGGCCATGCGGCAGTTGTCTTTAGTGCTTGCTCATATTGTATCGGATCGATTCCGTACGCATCAACCCTCTTTAAATCCCAATCTTCTGATTCTTGAGTAGAAGAATCCTTGGCTTATTTGTAACTAGAGGAAACCTTTGGGTGCACAGATGGAATGAACATAGGTATTCTCGACCCTGTGCACTGATGTTCATTGATGCTTTGACCAGAATGCCGAGCTTCAGTGACTACTAGCAATTTATTTAATCATCTTGATAACATTCAGACATTGTAACCAGATTACTTGGAGTAGCAAGCGTCATATCGTATTCTGAAATTTCTGATTTCGATCCTTGTTCTACATGTGTATGTGAGCAGAAACGGCGTGAACGTTCGGGGATATTTTGCGTGGACGTTAATGGACAATTTTGAATGGTTATGGGGCTATGGATTCCTTTTTGGAATTTGCTACGTAGATTTTCAGAACAATCAAAAACGCTATCTGAAAGAATCTGCTCTATGGTTTAAGAAGTTCTTGCAAAAATAATCCGAACCTCACGAGTCGAAAATCAGACGCAAGATTCATTATTATTTAGGATATGAACAGTAGTTCGGCTAGGTAACATAGCTGTTAGATATGTACTGGAAGTGAAGTCTCGCCTACTGCAACTGCATGCGCTGTATCTGAAAGCTCATCCTAAACCCACGGATACTTCTATCTACTGGAGGGGTATGTAATAACCGCAAGGTTACTCGAAACATGAGTCGGGCAAGTACAGTTGGAGCAAGAGCGGGTCCCACCAGAGATAAAATTCTCATTTTTGTTCTGGATTTCTCACGACAGTTTGGAGTTCTCCCTCAAAAGCGTTGATATTTTTGTGCAGAAATCTGATACTTCAGGATGTTAGTCACCTGGGTAGGGCTGGAGTTCAGTGGTTATAGGGTTTAAACGAGTACCTACCTACCTTCACGTAGGGAACGAAAGGGTGTTCTGACAGTTGGAAAACGACTTGTAGAGATTTGTAAATGGTAAATGTACAGCTGGGCAGCTTTTCTGAGTGCAAACTTAATCGAACGGTCGAGGCTCACCTCGATTAATGGTGAGGTTTCTACAAACACTTTCTGTTTGATATGATTTTGTAGTAACATCACCCTCTCTCTCTTTCTCTTGTGAAGTGGTTTTTCTGTCTTGGGCTAGGATAAAATTTAAAAAAGCTTTAAAATATACTACAATTTACTGTTATGAATGCCCCGAGTAGAAAGTCCGGAAGTGTGACCAGCCCTCCATGATTCATGCAATTTCCGAGTTAATCTTGTGCAGAATAAAAGAAGAATTTAGTAACTTCTTTTCCGTTCCAATACCGAGAATTTTCGAAGGGATAGGAAAATCCGCCACTTTTGCGCCTGGCACGTCCTCAACAACTCTCGATCTCGGAATCTGGAACCGTATTATCAATATGTAGAGCGTCCAGTGTCCATTCAGAACTCTTGCGATATTAAGTCCTTGGCAACCTTTCAACATTCTAGTAAACCAGTGTACCGAAATTTAGATTATGTCAAAGATTATCATTAAGTACTGGTTAGTTAAATAGTAATGGTAAATAGATCAAAAGGCTGAAAAATAGAATATAAACAATCAACTTCAACCTAGAAGAGAACAAAAGAACCCCCTAACTAGTGCCGAGAACAATAGAATGGTAAGTAATAACATCCTTAATAAAACAACTTAAATCATATCGGTCAAATTGAGACAAAGAATAGAAATTTTTAACAATAATTACATGAGACACTCTAATCTCTTTATATCTAGTATACATAAGAAACACAGGTTATTCATACTCAACATTTCTCTCATCACATAGCCTACAAATCTGTACACTTCTATCAATATTCAACCAACATACTTCTTCAATTCCAAACCTATGAGATCTTATTCTATATCTGGCAATAATATGACGTAAAGATGTAGTGATCTCTACAAAAATGTAACCTTGCTCACAATAAACAAGCATATAATTCACATGAAGTTGATAAAATTGCATCTTGGTGTTTCGTATGCTCCAAATGATATTGAGAAATTGCTCCTGTAGACGTTTGCGCAGTGCCATAGAGTGCAAGTCCTAATTATATTCGGTCACATTCCACTTCAAAGCCCAGAACCAACATTTCCGCTAACCATTCTTTGGAATACATGTCACGCAAAATATGAAAAGTAAGTCGAGAAGCACCAGGAGATCTCACCCTTATGATATAAGGGATGGTTCATACTCAAGAGGTAAACAACCTCCTAGATGAAGTTTTTTTTTCGACCTCATTATTCCATGATCTTGACATTTAGACAGCCATACATGCATGATATTTGAACTAGAAGAATGGAGATGTATGAGACAAGAGGATTTACCAGCATACCGGATGGTAACGGGAAAATTCCCGATGGCTATGTAATCAATTAGTGGATTGGCCTGAGTAGCCATCGCTGAACTCCTGTTGTCCTGTTTTGCCTTTTTTGTCTCTTACAATTTGATGGGCTCTCACTACCCCAAACTCGAGGTGTGACGTCTCCTCGATCCCCGAAGTTAGTCATGTTGTAAGCAAGCATTCCCCGCCTTCATCTAGTAGAGCTCTCATATAGAGCATTTCATATTAGATAAATCTCCAAAATCAGTTTTTCGGAATATGCGCATATCCGAGTTCCAGTCTCACACGCCTTGTCTCCTCGAATGTCAGCCCTCGACCGGCCGGCGTCTTCGGTGTTATTAATAAGTTAATCACATTTTAAATAAATCTAGATGTTATTTCTAATATGGTATAAAAAATTATTTTTCTTGAAATTTTACAAAAAAGCTCTTCTTATTCGTTTTAAGAGATTTCACGTGGATTAGAAAAACTTGAAATGTTTAGTCCAATATAAGTTCTTTCAATCTACTTTCGACAATACTTTCTAATATCATATTGACTCTAGAATGAGTTACTAGTAGAAAGTATAACATCTATAAATTTTCTTACATAAATTCTCCAATACAAAATGTAATATTACCAAGACAATACTTTCAAATGTCTATGACATCAAAATTGTTAATAATTCGAACTGAATATATCATGTTGACCAGTTTGTCTTACCATAATTTTGATAAAAGGCTAGCACATACATGAAAAAATATTTTTCTTTCAAATGCGCTTTGAGTGAGAGGCGTGGTGAGGAAATACTTACACGCTTTTTTCACGAATTTCCACTACCGCAAGGGAGGTGTAGACTGCCGTGAAGTAGGTGACTTTCCGCAAGTCTTCCTATTACTTATGTTGAGCAAGGGTTAAATTACGTCATTTCAAATCATTTTTTTCTTTCGTTAAGAAGATTGTCAACATATTACCGTAGTCTATATGGATTCGTTTTTTTCACGCCTCGATCATTATTCTTATTGGAGGCAGGTGTAATTTAGTCTTCCACAGAATTGACTTCTCCAAGACTTCAACAATCTTGAATTCTGTTGACATATGGTTTTGCCAGTAACGATACTTTTGTCGTACGAAGTGCGGACTGAAATTTTCTGCAAGTGTGCTCACTCTCCTGGCAATTCGGAAGGAAACAGACTGAGCCAGTCAAATCAAGCGAGGGGCAGTAATGAGGGAGAGTTAGACTCTTGTTTCGGGGACAACGTTGTCAAATGTACGACTTTTGACTTTCCAATACAACAGCGAAGACTTATGGACAAAACAATCAGTAAAATCTTCGTATTTGTTCAACTTCCGCACCTCTTGCATAGGATACCGTCGAAGTTTCTGGTAGACATGTGAGATCGACTAAACCTGACGTAGGTTTTTTCTTTGCACAGCTCTACCCGGTAGTACTAGTACAGTAGTTCCCTCGAAAATTCACAAACTCCGCACACAACCGGCAGATATTGCAACTCGATGTACGACATGCCAAGATCGTAAAATTGGTGTCTAATGCTATCAACTTCAGCCGGTAAGGTTTAAATGCCCGCTGCTCTTGATCTTCTATGATTCCAAAAAATTTATCGAAATAAGTTCGAGAAAAACCGTATACCCTGTTAAAGTACAACGACAATTTCCAACATGTCAATGTTATAGTGGAGAAAGTTGCGGGCAACAAAACAATAGTGAACTTCTCATTTGAGCCTGCGGCTCCACTCCTGCAATAAAGCTTCCATCCTGCCTCTAGTAACACTTCTTACCAGAAAACTTCAAAGGCTTCTGTTAGAAAGGCATGCCAGCAAATCGTGAAGTATGGGAAACCAATGTTCAGATTTATTGCTGAAGTTTCGAAACATTCCCAATACGACATAAGTTGCGAAACCATTCAGTAAATGACGTACAAATCCTTCATAAGGAACCTCATTGCTCGGGATCCCGTGTTTACCTTCAGAGCAGAAATCACATCGTCTTGATCTGCTTTTAGGGTAACTCTTCGAAGGCGGTCTTCTCTGTTTGTTCCCAAGTTCAACAAGGCCTGTACCCTCCATTCCAAAAATTCTCGGTTCACATAACACTTAAGTAACGAGACGAACTTTTGTAATCTGTGATTGATATAGCATAAGTAAGTGATTTTATTAATCACAGTGAGAGTAGCCCATGCAATCGATCGACTTTTGTACGAGCATAAGCTTCCAGATCCTGCAGACTGAAGAAGATTCAATGTTGCTTCTTTCGATATTAAGTCACTTCAACCTAAGCAAGTATCTCGCGCGATTTTCTATGTGTAATTGAAGCCCTCAGAAAATTGGTAATGGTCATAAAAGTGTCATGGATATTTGATGTCATGGTAGACGCAGCCACCTGGTTGAGAGGTGCTGGAAGTAACAGAGGAAGAAGAGAATGGAGAGTATAAAATGGGAGAAGGAAGTTAGGGAGCGGACTGTTAAAAAGTGAAGAAGGTGTCTCTTATGCGAGTCAGTGTATATGATGTCACAATGGACTCTGTGCAAGCATGTCAATGAAATAATTTCATCCGAAAGAAAAAAACCGCCCGAGATGTTTGGCTTCTGATGTTTAATTTCAAACACCGCTGGACTTAGACGCACCTGATCCGCAAGAACCTGACAAATACTTGAAAACTCTGGTGCTGTTAATGTCTGCATCCCCATTGACTTGCAAAATACCCTGTAAGCTAAATTCAGCTGCAATAAATAGATCAACATTGCACGTCAAATGTAGGAAACCACATGATAAGACACTCCTTGACATCTATTAAGGAGATAAACTGGTAAATGGTAAATAAGTAGCCTGACTTCAATTTACGCATGATTCCCGTCATGATATCACTCGATATATCACCTTCAGAAAGAACAAGGCATCAGCGTTCAAAAGTACTCTATATGTGTAAGTCTGAATTTCTTCATACTGAAAACAAGGAGTAACATCTATCACCTGATGTATAAAGCAAGCAAGTGCGCACTAGGTAATGGAATGCATGTATCTGCTTTCAACGCATAACAGCGTCATTGACAAGCTGAACTGAATTTATATTGGAATCAAAGCAGAAACTAATGACAATTTTTTAAGCCCAGACACACTAACCTCTCCCAAAGTAGCATCTTTCTTTGCACGTCCGAAGCAAGTAACAGCCGCACACAACACCATCTGACCGTTCAGAGCACCATCCTCAGAACTCATTGGAAAGACGATAATAAAAAGAGCAACTTCTGTGAAAGAAATGTATTGTTCTCCAGAAAGAGGACAGAATGTTTATCATCATTCATAGAAGTTGTGTGGTCTCAATTATGAGACCACACAACTTATTGAATGATGGGATGCAACTCGGTTTGTAGGCTTACAAAAGAGCAGAATATTTCACAAAATTAGAATAAATAAATGAAAGTTGGAGACCATTGAACTCACTGACCATCTGCTGTACTCATATTTAAAGAAAAAATTGTCAATAAGAGCCGTGATTGAACATACTTGCTGGTGTCTAGGTAAAGCCTGGATGGTTTCGACAACCGGAGAGCGGAAAATCCGGGAGAGTGCTAGTGCCATAGTATCAAGTCCCACCTACACATCACACAGTTCAAGAAGTATTGAAACGACAGATAGTAGAACTAGCACGGTGTCATGATTCTCCGACAGGCTTAATTGACCTGCGAAAGTGAGGAAAGATACCAAGCCCAAATTCTTCTCCCGCATCTTGAGTTTGGTGTCGATCGAATCAGGCGCATTGCGTCTTCTTTCCTCTTCGTCGACTAGAATACTTTTAACTTCATCCGTAACCTCATGAGCTTCTGATTCAATTATATCAATAGCGTTCCTGAAAACAGGATTATAAAAGATCCATTGGCATGAAAGAAAACAACAACAATGATTTTTAGATATCAACTTCATCATCGCATCAAACACCGTGCTATATCTTTAGCTTTTAATGTCACTGCAGTCTGCACCAGCAAAACTAGGTAAAATGTTCAGTACCTAAACAACCATTATATCCGATCTTGCACAAACATTACACCTATATAAACTAGATTCATTGACCGCGAAGCTACTTACCTACAAACATGGAGCGCTTTTCTCATGTCGCCTGTTGCAGCAGCCACTTTCTACAGTCAAGCCAAGGATCAAGATAAAATCAGTACACTCCACAAATTATGTTATACCTCAAGGATTCACTAGATTTCACTCAAAGTGGTTTCTACGTTAACACGTAGAAACCACTTTGGAATTGGAGTCTAGTTAATAGATTTTAATGTTCACTTGCTATTAGTTATTCAGGATACAGTAGGCAACTACACAAGTTTTCAAACTGGAGAAGTTCATGACGGCAAGAAGAGCACAGCAATGAAATGCTTACTCTAGCGCATAGCTCCAAGGATGCATCCTTAAACACAAGGTAGGGAAGGTCCTGAACACAAAAACCAGGGAAACTTCAGGAGCAGATACTTGTGATATCACAATTTCGTACTTCTGAGAAATTAATTGGTAAACAAGTGGAACCATCTCTATCGATCATTAATTTTTCACAACGGTTACAAATCACACCACATTCTAGGTTTCTAAAAAAATGTGTGTTCAATATAGACAGGTTGGAGAATATCCTGAAGTCAAACGTGTAATCGTGATGTAAAGGTTCACCTTCAATCTTTGGTGTAAAACTTCCAATATTTGGTCTTTCGTATATGCAGGAAAGGTGATCACATCTACTTTGCCTACATTGAAGATCAATTCATAAACAAAAAAAATCAGAACTAGTACACTTTATCGGACTATGTCCCGACTCCGCAACTCTTCAGCAATTATCGCTGCAGCAAGTTTAAATATGATACCAGAAGTAATATTTTAGAAGAATAGGTTTGTTAGAGATTTTTATTAGGACGGTGTATAACACAAAGAAAAATTGGTGAGCCTAGATAAGTGGACTATTCTTCATGAGAGACTGTAGAAGCTGTAGCTACCTAATAAAAGCTCCGTAAGGAGCTTCTTTCACTCCTACTGGACTCAAAAATGAGGGGATAAAAGAGTGTGCAAAACCCTACTAATCTTCATACCCTCCAGCTGAAAGAAGAATTTGATATGGAGATTGAAATACAAGGTAACACTCACAATTTAAAGATCTAAGTTTAGGTAACAATCGATCTGTAAGGTCGATTGCGTTCGCAATACCTGCAGGGACAGCAATATGTCATTCACCAGTACATGATATTTGATGATGAATCTAAACAACCTGAATGGTTTCTTCATATTATGCAATTTAGTCAAATAGATAGATCCAGACAATAACTTCAAAAGTCCCATCGCTTACCTATCAATATGCATCGGGAATTTGCTGAAGAGGGTAAACGGAACAAATCATATAGAACAGACTGGTCTCGAGTTATGAGATAATCCATCTCATCGACAATCAAAAGCCTGCTCAAACTTAAAGAGTTAATAACTATAAGTACAGTTGCAATAACATGGAACAAAGATAAGGATGCCTTCAAAAATTTCAAGAGCTAGTAAAGATCACGGCGATCCTTAAAATTTAACTCATTCCAGGAGTTGGTACTGACTTCATCGAAAAGATGGATGGTGTAAGTTCCTTGAGCAAAGAAAGAAGTTCAGAGAAGTGCCGCACATACATCTGCATTTGATTTCCAGCTATTAACAAACACAGGTCTCATCTTTAAAACATCGTCTTTCAGAATGTAGTTCAGAAGAGTGGTGGATATAGTCATCTCCAAGAGACTTACATCATCTTCTTGGAACTCTTTGTTTTAGAAGTATCACATACAAGTTTTCTTAGCTCCTTCAATTTCGAATCACTATTAGGTGTTTCACCAGTATCAAGGGTGGCGTTGAGTGCCTGCAAAACCTGAAACATCACAACAGGACAACTGATTCAGCGTCACAGAATGCAAATCCACAAAAGATGAAAAGTACAACCAGAACCCACTGATTCTTGATGAAAGCACATTGGCCACTAATTAGAAACACAGACCTTCGAGTAAATTTGCCTGGGATCTGTGAGGGTAGTACAATTGATGGCGACAATCTCCGGGGCCAAGGTACCAGCCTAGCAATCAAAAAGTATATGATTATCGATACAACCAATTGGTCTAATTAACTGCAACAAGCATGTAATTAAGCTAGAACACAACATCTGCACGGGAAAAGAGTTGACATGAGAGTACAAAATAGCCAGTTGAATGCATATGGACATCAGATACGGCAAGCCTTCAACGACAGACTTACATACAGCTCACCTGCATACTCCATGTGTTACAGAGAAACCTTATTTTTTCCATGATCAATGACTTTCCGGTTCCGGGACAGCCACATATGTAAAGGCTACCGGGTCGTTGCTCGACTATGCACGTTTTGCAGAAGTCAATAACACAAGTCTGTTCTGACTCCCGGCAAAGAACTGTTTCTGGCATTGCTGATAAATGTAGGGCAGTTTTCACAGCCAGGACATGAGAGGAATCTGCCGAGTCAAACAAACAAACAGCCCTACATCACGATCGTTACTACAAAAAGAAACACCTAGTAGATTATTATAAACACAATGACTATTTTTGCTGACAGTCATGAGCTTTCAATAAGAAGGAATCTTCAGTGACATAGGATCCAATATATAAAATACATCAAATAAACACATTGCTCCAAGCTACTGATAACAATATATCATGGGTCAAACTCGACTTGATCCACTGCAGTTGAACTGATATGAGCTTCTATCTTACGTCTACAGAGAAAGAAAAATTGAATCACCAGTTGCGTTCCAAGGTTCTCTTCCTCGCACGCTCATATCAAACCCTTCTCCCGGTGTACTTTTGCTTGAGCCTTTGTTCTGCTTCTCATCTTTTTGTCTACCGTTGCTTTGGAGATTGTCTCGTCGTCGCCGTTCCTTCATTGACGGCGTTCACACTCTTATTAAAGCTGCTGCGATTCCTGAGACCCGAATCTTCCAAAACTTTTCACACTTTCGTCTTCTCGATAAGCAACCAAAGATTAGAAATATCTCATTACCTGACACCTAGTGCACATTGATGACTCATAGTAAGACCTTCGAGAGCGTGGTTCTGGCTCATAGGCTTCTACGTACATATATATAACCGTTGTCTTGATGAGACCACAGATCTTTTATGCAGGCCAGGTTTTTGTAAAATACATTCAGATTTAGAAAACTCAATTGAGTTTCTCACTTCTTCAAAGGTCAGTGTCCGAGGCAATTCCTTTTGTAAGTGAATAGAGAGTTGTAAGAGCATTGTGCACTTGCCCACATCGTCGAGCACAATTTATAATTTGTGACTGTGTGACAGGGTATATGATGTCCGAGGAAGGAATGTACGTGTGACAAATCAACCAGAAATTACAAAAATGAAGTCTCATTTAGGATTTCATAGTCGTAAAACGAATTAACAGTTACTCCAAGTGAGAGACAAACAATGATGTCTGTCTGCCTGAAGGGTAATGCTAGATCCTATGGGCTTGCACGTACCCTCTCCTCTAGTAAAATCTTACAAGCCCAAGGCAGTTCTCGTAGCCTTCATAGTGAACAGTTTCCGTCAATCTCTATAGCTACAGGTACAAGGGCCTCTGTCAGACATGTTACAACGTGACCTGGTGGAATTTGGACAGGATAGAGCTGAATCTGTCCTCTACTTAAGATCAGAGCTGTAGGTGCGAGCTTCACGTTCATGATAGTTTCCCGCTAACAACCAAAGAGATAAGCAGTTCAGCATCTTGACCTAAAGCCAAAAGCAGTTTTAAGCTTAAATTCCTCTCTTTCTCTCTTGATCAACATCAAATGCTAACACCAACCCGTTCTGCAGCAGAAATGGGAGATTCAGTGGTTTGATCTGGCTTGGTAACCCCACACAAGACTGGCTCTTCAATTAGAGCATGAATTCCTTGTGGTTCAACGTGATCCTTTGGCTTTACAGAGTCTTCATCCTTTGGTGCATTCTTAACCACAGGGTTCTCTACCTCCTTGTCGTCCAAGTTCTGCGGGGCATCAACTGTCTCCTCAACCTCTAGGTTCTCTTGCTTCAGTGAAGTCTCTGCTTCTGATAGCTTTGTTACTTCGTCCACAGCATCCACTGCCATGAATTTAAGCGGGTCTTCCACCTCTAACACTGTCGTCTCTACCTTCTCCTCTTCTATCAAAGTTGGCGTCTCTTTCATGACCGAATCTGTGATCACAACAGGCAGGGATGTACCCTCGGCGGTCAAGACCTGATCTTCCGCGTTTACCTTGACAGCGGCGCTATCCGGCTCCTCGGAGGAGCCCAACTGGTCAGAGGGTTCACTCGCAGACTGGACCTCTGATGTCGGATTCGCTTCTTTGACATCGTTCCCTGTTACAGCTGCTTTGGCTTCATCGTCTATTCCATCCTCATCAACTTTCTTCCCTTCGTCCGTAGGATTATTATCCTCCGTGTCACCTGATGGGGCTGTGGCTCCTTCAGTTACACCTTCATCCTGGTCTTTCTCCGCTTCTTGCATCACCTCATCTTTTCCCGCGGTGTCCACAAGAGGTTGCGACTTCCTGCCTTTCCGTGAAGGAGTGGTACTAGTACCCGGCGAGCGCACCTCCTTCGTGTCCTCCAAACTTCGCCTCGACCTCTTCGTGACTGGCTCTGTGTCTGTACTATCGCTTGACAACCTCCCCTTACTGCTCAGCCTGGCAGACCGTCTTGGTGTCTCGCCTGGCAGTCAACCCATAGAGAACTCGAATAATCAGAACGCAGGCCATGCGCGAGCGACCGAAACGGAAAGTTCGCAATGCCAAGATCTTAAAAATTCGGTGGGAGCAAGAGGTGAATGCGCTCATGAAACCAAAGATTGAAGGTTTACCGGTACTCCAGTCGAAATCGGCCGATGATGGGCCGCCAGGATGCACCTTCAGATACTTGTCCAGTTGCTTCTTGTTCTTGATTTCTTCCCCATCAGGAGCGATGTAGATTACATCCTTTCGCTTCGGCGTTCCGGCCTTCTTTGGCATGAGCTGAGCATAACACCCATGAAGGCTTATTCCAGAATCGACAACGTACAAGAGAACCTTATCGTATGCACAAAATTTCTACGTCGACGCCGAATTCTCAATTTTAACCCAACTTTGGAAATTGCGATAATTACAAACATGTGACAAATGCATGAAGTTGCTGAGTTTCTCTCCTTTCCTCATACAGAAAATATCTCAAGACCCAACTTTGCCATAGAAAGTCCGTCGATAACACGAAAACATTCAGCCTTAAATTCATTATCAAGAACATCCGTGACATTAACAGAAAAGAGGTTTCTGCTTCAATGAAATTGAGCTGCATTATGGTCTTTGACACCTGACAGGTCTGTGTCAGCCTGACTCCTGGTACTGCGAGTCAGAGGCTTTGGTAAACCTAGAACCTTGCCTACTTCTACGATTCTTTCATTTCCAATTTCCTATATCTAGAGCACTCCCGGTTTGGCAGATAAATTGATGCAGGAGGTGTCAACAACCAGACCAGCAAGAAAATTTGTGCTTATTGAGACCATGTAAATTCAACTAACAACTATCCAAAACACTGCAGTCTTCCGTCCGAGAAAAAATTATGCAGCAAGGGGCAAGAACAAAACGAGCAAGAAAAGTTGTGCTCCTTGGACTCGTGAATAATTCACAGCGGTCCCACTGGCCTTCGTGCTCACCGAAATAAAGAAACACAAACAGCAAGAAATGAAAAGACATGGAGTTCCACAATGCATAGCATGGTGCGATAACTTCTTGACACAAAACTGTAACACATCGAACATGAATTGGTGCAGGTGCAGCTCACTGTCAGCTAGTTTCGCTTGCTCGATAAAAAAGAAACTGAAACTCAAACCATATTTCTGAAATATATCCCCCTGCACATTAGTTTTCTCTTTTACAAACAGGTTCTCCATATTTGAATCAAATCTTTTTTCCCCACGCACAGTGAATTTCCTATTCTTTAAAATCAAACAAACGCTCGGGAAAAAGAAGCAATTTGATTTAAAAATTTCAGAGAGAAAGATAAAAATGCACCTTCTTAGTCCAGCCTTGAGGTGCAGAGAGGTCGTCGTTGAAACCTGAGTCCATCGTTCCGGAGGAGTCAATAACCTCCGGACTGGCCATGCACTCCACCTTGTACACTCCAGTGGTATTGGGAACTCAGAAAGAATTGCCAAAAACAAAAATTTGCACCAAACCCAGAGCGCGAGTTTACGCGGGCATTTGCGTCAGCCAGGCGAAACTTCGAAAATCAAGTGCAAAGTGGCATAAAAAATGTTGCACCACGAGACTGTCAACTGGTCGAGAAAAGCGCAAGCTCGAAAACTTTCACGGAAATAATTATCAAGAGCCAACACCAAACCAAGGAACGACGAACCAAACGAAAAAAGATGGACACCGGCTGTAGTCTCTGAGAGTTACAAAGCAAGAGCATGAGCAAGAGCACCAAGCAGCAGGCAGCAGGGGCAGGGAGAGAAGGGGGGAAGGCCAAAAGCTACCAGGCAAGGTAAATTAGACCGAACCGGGTAAGTAAACAGAGATCATCGTCGCTCGTCTTTCGCCCGCTCATGAAGCTAAAGTCACAGAGCCCAAGCAAATCACGGTAAACTTGGGCAGTTACTTCGGTAAACTTTCGCTCGCAGGCGTGAACCGCGCGGACGTATCTTAAAGCCCGTGCTTTTTTAAATCTTATATCTGCTGGGCGCTCTGCCAGATCCAAACCACCTTTCTCTCCGTCTCTAGATCTCTACATGTAGCTACATCACAGTCCCGTAAAGTGGGAATTTGGTTTGGCCCCCACCTTCGCGGGGAGAGCGCGACCAGTGCGCGATAAGGATATAGGACTTAGAGAAGAGGCCTCGTCTTAACTCTTAACTCTTAACTCCAGACCCCTGATCCATCCATAAACGACTCCTCCACACGCAGACATAGTCCTGCTGTACATGTAGGGTGCCAGTGGCAACATCCGCCGCACGAAGGCACAAGCCAACGATTTTGGCTTTGACCTTTGACGGCCAGAGATTCTCCGTCGGCCATGAGCAGAGAAACCCTCGGTTGAAGGCCCGCCAAAGGCCAAAGGTTGTCACGATTTCGTTCCTGGTTTTGCACCGCTCTCGCTCTCTCTCTCTCTCTCTGTGTGTCTGCGGCCGCTCTAAATATGAACTCCTGGATCTCCCGAAGCCCGCCCCGTCCAGCTAACTTTGTCATGTGCGCGTTTGACTGGTCCAATTCCGGATGGACTCCACTGTACGTTGGCGCAGAAGGCGGACATGCATTAGTGTGACTTCAGCTCTGATGATTGAACTGTCTGGAATCAGCAGCAGCGTGGACGCCCCAAAGCATCCGTCCGGGTTCCGGACTCGGGCGTTAATCTTCTTCTCCCGGTTGTTCTCTTGCCGAGCGTTTCTCTTCTGCTCCCGGTTGTTCTCTTGGGGGACGCTCTTTCAGCGTCCCTCATTATGTGCCGTTATGCGCTATCGTTTTTCTAGCTGCTTCAAACTATCGTAAACCTTCCGCATTTTAAATTTTTACACTTGAAACGGTACTTTTCAACTGTTTGTTTTATAATCTCAACATAACTACCCCCTCCGGTTAATATCGAGCCAAATTTCCACAACAAACATGTATATATATATATATATATATTATCCCACAAATAATAATAATGCTAAAAAAATTTGAATCCATAACTAATTATATGAGTTCTGAAATTTTCTTCATTTTATTGAAGTCTTCATTTCTTAAATTCATTAAAAGGAATACACTCCTAGTATATTGACAACGTATATCATACAACTTGCTTTCTAATAATAAAAACATAATCATGCATGATATTATGGTATTTTACAATCAACTCGAATTCACAAGTGAGTGCAAAAGGTGATGTTATAAATCAAAACAAACTGTTGAATCTTATAGAAAAGAAATTTAAACTTATTTTAAAATAATTCTAAACCCAATAGGCAACATAGTATATATCAGTTTTAAAAATGACACAAAATTTGCTTGTATTCAATACATCTATGATTGATCAATCATTGAGAAGAAAATTGTATAACTTACTGACTAATCTTGAACATGTTATTGTATTAGCTGATGTGTTGAACAATACTGATATCAACGAAAGATATTATATTATTTAAACATTTTCAGTAGAATTAAAGTACATATAGAAAATTGCATGATTCATCAAAATGAAATAACTCATACATCTTCAAATAACTTTCTTGATATTCTATTTATCAATGTGAGTCTAAGCATCTAAAAATAAAAAACAATAAAAATTATGGTGTTTTTTAATAAATATAAATTCTTTACTTTTTACCAATTAAAACATAAAGATTGTGTATTTGTTTGAAAATTTTACGTTTTCAACTATACAAGACTGAAATTATTATATATCTTCTTAAGAAAACTTTTTTCTCTTTCGTATTCATAAAATTAATTCAATACATTTCTCATTCAATTCAAAATAACAGACTCAATAATATCATGAAGAATGAAAATCTAATGATATTTTAATTTAAACTTTACAATTGACAAATAATGTCAAGAACATTTTTCTTGTAATGATCATAAAAATTTGTAACATTCAGTTGATGAAAGAAAGCTTTAAATTTGGAAATGCATTTCTTATTATCTTCTTTCTTTTCCAATTTCAATTAAGCAATATAAACCTGATGTTTTAAGATCTAAATTAATAATCTACCTTGTACTTTCAAGTATATTGATTTCAAAATTCCATTTGTTGAGACATATAAATCTAAGTTTTTCAAATGAAATATGTAAATACCATTAGTTGAAAAATGAAATGTTAAATGCTCTTTACAATTCAATACATTTTTGCGTATTTTTTTTTGGAAAATTGTAAACGCGTACCACAAAATCGCTACAATATAAACATGAGAATTTCATGTTTAAATAACGTATCATTTTACATATGTCTTTCTTTATATATACGTATTTATTTCATTATTTATGTTAGTGATTTTACATTTCATTAGTATCCATAAGATTGATAAAAGATATCATTATGTAGCTGTATAAATTTTTATTTTCAGGAAATAAAATATAAATGTAAATATATAATTTTTACCGAAAATTATAAGAAAAAATCATATTTTTAAATACACAGCACATGAAGATTTGTCATCTAAATACATGTAATAAATTATTTCAAATAAATATAATTATTTAATATATGGAAACAAATCATGCCTTGCTATCATAATATTAACATCAAATATCCCAATTACTTTCAAATCTATGAGTTAACCAAACATGTTATTTTAAATTAAAGTTACATGATATCTAATCGAAATATTTAAAAAGTGGAAGTTTTTAAACGGGTTGGTTAATGATTTTTCTTAACATATACACAAGAGGTGAAATTGAATTCCAATTTTAGTCCGAGAAATTGAATACAAATATAACCATGAATTTACATTTGAAAAATATATAATAATCTATTGATGAATTTAGAATTGAAAATTTAATTAATAATTTATTATTTGTTCATAATGTATTCAAAAATTACAGAAATGCATAGAATTTTTAAAATTTTGAAATATATTGTTGTAAAATTTTTTTTTCTTAATATTAAGAATTTAGATAAAAAAACGCTATTAATTTGTTATCAATTTTTTAAAAAATCAATATATTTTTATTCAACAATGACAACAAATTAAGCTCATACTCACCACAAAGAGCCAAATATGAGGGAATTCATTTCAATTCATGTAGAGAAAAAATTGAAATTTTCATTTTTTTGTTGAATCAAAAAATGTATGAAAAATCTGCACGATAAATATGATTTTCTTCAATAGAAAAGCAAATTGTGATGATTCAAATTAAGAAAATGAGACTAATTTTATCTAATAGCTACATTTCAAAAACAGCAATGAAGATGAATACTTTTAAGTATGAAACATATTGATTTAAATATAAGGTATATATGTGATAATTAAATATACATACGTAATAAAAATTCCTAATTAATTGATTCAATAGATTATGCAAGTAATATCAGAGTAAAGTAGGTCTCAGGGTAAATTTTGATATCATTTTTTAAAATAATAAAAAAAATCACACAAGTTTTTAAAATTATAAAATATTACATTCAATATTTGAAGAATGTAGATTGAAATTTATTAATTTTCAAAGTATCACGTCACGATTCATTTGTACTATACATATATATAATTTTATTAAATGCATATGTATAAACAATATATCTGGAGTACTTTTTGCAAAGTATGAATTACGCAACATAACAACTTATTCAAGCAATAAACACGATTAGCTTGTTAACAATTATATGGATCTAAGCTAATTATTCCAATATAAATTATTTTTTCTTAATTTGAATATATACATATAAGTAATCATGATTATTTAAGAATTTTTTATTTATTTACGAATTTCAGTTAGTGAATTAAAAATTTTTTGATTTTCATTATATACTTATTGTTAACATGGACATTGTTGTTCGACAAAATTATGTGCTCATGATGATGTTATACACGTTAGGAGATTATACAACCTGTATAACCTGAATGAAATATATTCAATTGAGATACATTTATCATGTGCATAACTTTGCTTGAATTTATCAAAACATTGTAAATCAAATTTTGAATAACAGTTGTAAATGAAAATTTTAATAAACTATATTTTTTAGATATATGTGTTTTTTTAAGTTTCATGTAGTTTATTTAAACCATTGTGTGATAAATTTCATAAACTCTATATGATTTAAAAAATTGATCATACAATTGAGAATTCACATACATACATGGGTGTTTATTGTAAAAAAGTTCATATTGCATTTTCAAATGAAAAAATATGGATCTAAAGGAAATGCTAAATTAGTACATGACATGAGAAAAAATAAGATATTTTTTCAATAAATTTGATTTTGAAGTTTATGTTTTTAATCAATTAAATAAAAGAATATCGTTATCATAATTAGAATTTTATACTAAACTATTATGAAATTTTTTTGATGTTATTTATTATAATGTAATGAGGTTGTGATTTGATCTTTGATGATCTTTATAAACATACATGTTGAGGTGAACTCCACGTAAGGAGTAATCTGATGTCTTAGCTATTTATAGCTAGGATGTTCGATGGACTCAGGATAAATACCTCGGGGTTCTTTCCGTATATTGAGTCATGTGTAAGATAGCTAAAGTAAAGTGAGGAGAGTTCTAGATAGACGTAGTCTTCCGGAGGGAGAACCACGTTACATATGTCTGTCATGAATGTTTTAATATTTTCTCCATTTTACCGTTCACAATTCAGTCATATGAAAAATGACACGTTCAAACTGACATGTCTTATTTAATTTCAAAAATGATTGCTTGTGACATATGCTTATACATTCATTTTTGTTTATATTTAAATATATTTCATTAAAGAATATGCACTTATGTGTTGTTTGTGAGTTACATAAATCATGATGTGCATTTTTTCTAAAAATGATTCAATAATCATATAATTGTGTTGTTTAATATTGAAAAGATATACATGCATGTGTATTTCATAAAAAATTTATGCTCAAATTCATAAAATATGTTTTTTTTTGGTTTTCCGTACTCAATATTCTGTAATTTCTTAATGTTATAAATAACACATATATTGTATTTTTTGTTGGATTTATTTATTTGAGGAAACATATATTTGAATATATGTTCAAAAACTACAACTAAACAAACATGTATATTTAATGCGATTTGGTTTTAGTTTATTGATGATGTTGAATTTTATGAGAAGATGTTCAAATAGCGCCTGATTTTTTTAAATCAGTCAATTCGTGGCGTGGTAGACACAGGAGATGTCTTCCATGCAACGCCACTTGTTCGTAAAAGTTTGAGGAGCTTGCTAAGGACTTGATTTCGTTTTACTGTATTAAACTAACCCTTTATGATAAGATGTACAAGTTGGTGGTGTTAAAACCAAAAGAAATCTCGATTGACTAAAAAATGTTTGGATTGTGCCAAAGTGACATTGGTAACATATTGAAAGTATCTGGGAAGCAAATCTTCTATGCATGAATTTTCATACTAAAATGATACTGAATTTCATAATGACGGTCCGCTTTTCTTGAAGCCAGTTGTTTGAGCTCTGATGCAGAAATATTATTTTCATTGGCGAAAAGTACATTGTGAATGATAAGGAATAAGTTTCTTGGTCTGTCTTTGGTAAGGAAATACTTTTTTTAGACCGAACACTTTCAATCTATGTAGATCATGCTTACATGAATCTCCGAAATCAAATCGTATACAGTATCTAGAATGCAAACGAGTGAGCACGAAAGGCTGAATCCAATCGATCAGTATAAGGAAAAACAGGGGAAAACGCCGTGTCCACGTTCAGGATTCGCGTAATACATAGAGCTAAAAAGGCTGAAGGTGACATGGCTGGAATGTTACTCAGAAGACGGTCGCGGAATCCTGGTCGTCGAAATATTGGAATCTAGCGGCGCCGAAGATGTCACGGAACCCAGCGTGGCTTTCTATCCTTGCGCGCAGGTGTGCTCCATATCCGCAAGACCTTATCTCCACATTAGCGCTAGCTCAGCTGATCCCCTGCATCTGTCCCGGCGGATTTCTACTGCTGTGCCCCTAATCTGTCACGAGTACAGTTTGAAGTCCGAGTTTTGAGCCTAACAGCACCTCCTTACTGGAACATTGTCTTCTCATTCCAGTTGGAGATCGTCTTCGTGAGGCAGCAGGGAGCATTTCTCTCGCTGATTCGAAATGGCTGCATCGTGTGTATCAGTGTTATCGGCCGCTGCCGGTTCGTGTGTTGCCGTAAGAAGTATCGACACCAGGGCCACCAGACAGACTTCTCGTCTATCCCTGGTCGTACCTTCTCTAGCTGTGTCCCGTTCTGCCGAGAAGATCTTTACCTCAGGCCTGTTCTTGACCACTTTGAGTTCCAGGGTTGAAAGGAGTGCCGGAATTGCTGCCAGGGCTGCCGACCTTGAGGAAGCTGAGACGTCAGTTGATTCTACTCCATCTTCTCCTGCCCCTGCTGCTGGTACCAAACTTTACGTCGGAAATCTGCCGTGGGCCGTTCACAGTCAGCAGCTCGCTGAAATTTTCCAAGAGTACGGAAATGTCGAACTTGTGGAGGTAACACCAAGCGGAAACTGACACCCATGGCTTTTCCTTATCATTGGAAACATGCATCAAGGAGACATTGCATTGAAATTATTTACCGGATAAATGAAGTCTACGTAGATATATTTGTATGGGTAGTGTTCAAATTTTCCACATGAGCATGTCCCCCGTACGTTTATCAAGTTGGTATGATTCCTGCGCACATGGAATTTCTAAACCCTACGCACAAAAAATCTGTTATTAGCGGTTCCTTGCTGGACTTGTGAACCATGAACCATTACGAATGCAAACTGTGCATGCGAGGTATATTGCATTTACTTGATGTGCCTTGTTTGGATACAGGTTATTTACGATAGAGACACCCAAAAGAGCCGAGGGTTCGCGTTTGTGACCATGAGCACTAATGAAGATGCACAAAGAGCAATTGACGCGCTGGACGGCTCAGTAAGTACTTATTACCTGAAGTGCAGACACTCTTGACATCACCTCCAGGGTTTTGCGGGGGCAATTCACTAACCTTAAATCATGGTTTGTGCAGGAGCTTGACGGAAGAGTGGTGAAAGTTAACTTTCCTCAAACCACGAAGGATGCATCGAGAAATGACAGATACAAAAACGAGAGGGCTGCTCCACGCGAACGTAGGGAAGGAGAAGGATATTCTCCCAGACCAGGCGGTAGCTTCAATTCCGCTATGAAGATCTTTGTTGGAAATCTATCATGGGGAGTCGATGACGTTGCTCTTGACGAGCTGTTCAGTGAGTACGGAAAGGTTGTGGAGGCGAAGGTTGTGCACGACAAAGCAACAGGACGCTCCAGGGGTTTCGGATTCGTCACTATGACAAAGGAAACGGAAGTAGCTTCTGCTATCGAAGCCCTCGACGGAGCTGTAAGTTTTCGTAGCAAAAGCTCACTACCATTCAGATTGTTAGGCGTTTGGGTTGAAAGTCACGATTGCTCTGCACATTTGAGCTAATGTTTGCAAGTGTTGTTTACAGGATTTTGACGGGAGGACCATGAGGGTGAACCGTGCTGGTGATAAGCCAGAAAGGAGTGATTCACCAAGCCGGGGTTATTAGAAGTAGATTTAAAATAGATATTTATCAATGAGTTTCTTGAGCAAGCCCTTAGCAGGCAGACTAACTTGTAGCTTGTAGGCGAAACTCGGGCCGTTTGGAGTCCAATGGATTTTGAGAACATCCGGAGACATTTTTTGCAATGGGTAGGCGGAGGAACGTGTTTCACGTACTTCGGAGCCTATATGAAAGTTTCGGAGCGTAAACTGGCCTGTACAGGCCGAGCGGGGAACAATGTGTTGCGCTTCCTTCTGCCGTGCCGTGTCAGAAGTTGTTAGCGTAGAAGGTATACATGGTCCTTGGAAGGCCGGGGGAGCCTTGTTTTTCCTGCCGAGGCTGAGTATCGAAGTCGCTCGCCTCTGCTCCGCCTATCTTCAAACCTTTGAGTTCTACCGAGACCTCTGTAGTGCTCACCAAACAAGAGTCGAAACGAGCAGATCATGTAAACTCGGATCTCGAGGTTTGTACGATCCTTAGAATTTTCAGTAAAACGCCACGTTACAAACTGAGCCATACTGCCGGAACATTTCCGGAAGATGGATGGTTGCTGTTATGATCTATTACGATTGCATAGTTGCAAATGATCGGAAGAGCTCTAAGTTTTTAATGTACATGGATGAGCATTCTTATCTTTCTAGCTGATCGAATTTGTAAATTTAGCTTGATAGAGAACAAACAATTTGGATCAAGTTCGCTCCAATGTCTTGGTGTACCATTCTTATCACTATTGTCCTTGGTTGTTATTTGGACGTCAGCAAGCATTCGGTCATAGTGCATAAGTTAAACTCTTGTATGCAATTCTCTTTGTAAGCTAATCATTAGGTGATGTGACAGACTAAACTGGAATGCATGGTAGTGCAACTGCTTGGTTGAATGTAGAAAAGATGCTCATGTTTCACACCCAATCGAACGGAAGTGGAATTCTGAAGCTGTGATTTGAAATATAACGTATCACGTCAACGTACATAAACTGAAGTACGCAGAAGATTATACAGTGAACAGCACATAAATGTGCAGAATATGATAGAGTGTGCAATAGGCAAATACCGAGAGATAAACACTCATCGTCACCTGTGCACTTTGCCTTCTCATACGAAGGAAATTATTCTAAGGTGAAATAGTTTAAAACGCTGTTGAAGTAATAAACTTATCAATATGAGGTAATTTTTCATGAAAAACCCTCAAACAAAATAACTGTGCCAAATAATCAACAAAATAATATTAATTGTCAAAATAACTCCACCCAACAGAGTATATACATATGTACAACAGTACAGTCAACACGACATAAAATTCTTTTTGTAATATTATGTGCTACGTGCAAATGTGCGTTCTACTTATTTGTTGTTAAAATATCAACTCCATACATAACGTCAGTAAAATCTAATCACAATCCTTGAACCAATAAACTTGCATGAGTTACATACATCAACACTGTACCGAGATGAATGATGATCTCATGTTCCAATGACAACGAAAGTCAAATTTCACTTGTAATATAAGTACATATTGAATTTGTGGAGAATTTACGTAATTTCATAATTTTCATGTGCTATAGTGGATTCACAATTGTTTTCTTTATTCAACATGTTGCAAAAAGATATGAGCTTGAATCTAAGCAAGAGTCAAATGTAACTCGAAATCTGGAACAGGAAGCTATTTCAACAAGACCTATGTTCGCTCCGTCAAGTTCCTTCAGGTTGATCTCAACATTGTAATACTTTATTTTTGGCTCTGGGCTGGTGTTTTGGTGTTCATTTCAATGGCTCATGCATATTTACATACAGACTTTCACTCTTGATATTCACATAGGTTCCAAACACTTTATTCTCTGGTAGATCCCCAATAAAGGACAATTCACAACACTTGATTGCTTAAGGAATCAAACGCTTAGACCATTCAAAAAATTTGCTGCTTGTGGTTCAAAAATCTACAATTCGAAACGAAGCGAACAATGAGGCTAGCCTGTGTTTGGAGAACTATTCACAATGATCTTCAAACAAAAGTATTTGCCCAGTTCTGCTTACGAGATTCTTCACATATGATGGGCTACCATTTTCGAGTAACTCTACTTATGGAACGATCATGGACACCTTCCTTGGAACTTACAAATTTCGGTTAAAACTCGTCCTGACACGCTCTGTGGGAACTGGTACTATATGCTCTTCATCAACATGGCTATCAATGTCAAGAGAAGTGTCGAGAGGAGCGCCGACAAATGAGGGCCCAAATGTGTTCAACGGTCTTCGAATCAAGATTTCCGCTTCTGACTTATTCCAAGGGCGAGTGGGTAAACCACATTCCTTCTTGCCGAGGTTTCCAAGACGACCTGCTTTGTGGCCTGCGAGACACGAACGCCATGAGAAATAATAGAAAAATCTTCGGCACAATAGCATCTGAGTATAATAAAGAGATTTCTCTGAAGCGTCCCTGCCCTTTCAGTACACAGACTGAGAAGTGAAATGAGGAAGTGGATCATACCTCTGAAGGGCTCTTTCCTGCATCAATGAGGTTCTGCAAGCGTGAAATCAACTCATCCTCTGCCATGGGTTGATCTCGAAAACCCTTCGGAAGTCCCTCAACGATGAAGGTCATTTCTCCTCGAGGACTCCGCGACATAAATTCTCTTTGAGCTTCTTCCAGTGATCCGCGCCAGAACTGGCATTGACATAAACTCTGAAGTCAGCACAATGTCGACTTTACATCTTCCATCTAATCAAGTGAAAACTGTGAGGAACCATTTCCTTGAGATAAGTAAGCACCTCTTCATGAAGCTTTGTCATCTCTCTTGCAACTGCACACCGTCTCCATGAGAGTTAATGCGCCAAGAAAGACAAGTCGCTAAGCTCGTCAGATGATATTGTAAGGGTCAAAGCTTCTCTCCATAAACAGAAAGTTTCACACACAATAGTGTGAAAATTTCACACACCTATTGCAAATCGAAATGACAAGATGAGCCGGAGCAAAACTTGAGATACCTCGAGGGTCCAAAAGCAAGTACACAGTCATCCAGAGTTTTGCACAACTTGTGCGGTGGTACGTAGAAAATTTGTGTTGCAGATTCATTGGCAGCTATGGCTAGACGTTTCTGACGTGAACTTGATTGTGCTGGTAGAAAGCCAACTGTCAATGCAATGTACAGCTTGTCAGTCAAGTACGTCATGGACTTGTGTTAAACCGTTGACGGAGTATAAATTACATACTACATGATCACCCTTAGGGGCTTAACATCAGATAACATCTCGTTAAGGAAGTATAAGGAATCCAACTCATTCAAAGCACAGTCACTTACGCATAGAAGAAAATTCCCAAAGATTATGAAAACTAAGCCCAGCTCTTAGTTTATAAGCTAAGAGAAATGATCAGCGAGATTGCACAACTGCACAATTTGATCCTTACCGAATGTAAACTCATCAGTGGATAGACCAGATGCGACCAGGGCCGTTATAACTGCAGACGGTCCTGGGATCGGGAATACATCGACATTGACCTCCACACACGCCCTCACCTATATGAATATTAGGACACAATTTCAAGTTAATTGCAAAACTTTGCAGGATTATCATCAAGTAATGGTAAGGAGAAATGAAAAAATGAATGTGGGTTTAACATCCTCTCTTAGGCTTATTATCATGCACAGCAAGATGCCAACCACTTGAATCATGAGGCAAATTGCACCAACATTTTGTAAAAGGATGTTCCTCTTACGAAGGAAGACGTAAAACAGAACTTGAGTTAGAGCCAAAATCAACCCCTTGCAGCAGTAGCGACTGCTGCAAGGGGTTGATTTTGGCTCTAACTCAAGTATAAGTGACGACAAGTATACTTCAGTCAATGAATATCATGTGCCAGCGTTACACATAAGCTCCATATCCTTCATAAGAATATCAAGAAATGGAAAGTACATACAATATCACTACCGGGATCGCTGATACCCGGCATGCCTGCGTCACTGATGAGGGCTACGACTTCACCTCGTCGCAATCTTTCAAGAACCATGTCTCTGCGGGCTATTTCGTTAAACTTGTGATAACTCATCTGCCCACATGGATGGAGTAGCAGTAAGCTCGACTATGCAGATACCCAACGATTTTAAGTGACTCACTTGTGTCAAAACAGAAATCAGTTATGTGATCAGGAACTCTAGAATCAAGAACCAAACTTCCATATATAACCAAATCAAGTTCGCGTTATTGCCTGGTCATGAAAGAAGATGTCAACTGCTTCATTGGTACTTACAGTGGGAGTCTTAATCTCGTAATGACGAAGCAATCTGGACGAGTGCCTGGTGTCCTCTGCTAGAATCATTGATGCTGACTTCAAGACTCGTAAAGCCCTGTCTTTGAGAATCCAAATTAGCCACTAACCAACTCACTTGCAGAACATTTCTCCAATAGAGAACGGAAGCTTCGCAAGGGAATGTACCAATGACATTCATTTTTGGGACTTCACCGTAAAGTAATGTCTTCCAAGTTTCCAATCGGCGTGCCCACAAGATAAAGCCCAGCTTTGAGTACACCCTGCACATATCGAACTCTACTTAGAGAAGCCATTTCAGAGCTAAGGTTGCCATCGAGTCTAACATATTCCTTCCAATCATACCATTCAACTGAACTGCTCACCCCTCACCTTCCAAAAAGTCAATCACCTCAGTTCGATGGGAGATGTACACGACAACTGACTAAGAGCTTGAAGTTGGCCGAAACAGTGAATTATTGGTTTGATCTATATTGAAGCATATAATTCTAGAAGAGAAGTATTTAAAATTCACAGTTCCTTCGAATTTATACTGGTAGAAGATTCTCATAGCTGCTCCAGCTCGGAGACCGTATACCGATAAGAAAATGTACCTGTGATCCTACATAGATTTCAACAGCATGCAATCCAAGAGCCGCTGAGGAAGAATAAGTAGGAAAGGTTCACCTTGGATATTAAAGAATGATCAGATTCTTTAATATCAGATTTATCTTCCTCAATGACTACGATATCTTCGTCCCGCAGTGATAAAACGTAATCATTCTCATATCCGACAGAATTCTCCGAAGAGGATCCAACGCAATCCTCAATCTGGAAACTGTTCGCTTGCGAATCATGAATGCTTCTGAACGGAACTCTCGCACCCAGAATAGCAGAGCCGCCGAAATTCTTCATCCCACGAAGAACGGAAAGGTGTCCAGCCATAAGGCACCGCACACGGTTCTTGACAACGAAGCCAATTTCTGCGTTACAACCTGAACAACAACCGGACTGGAAATCGTTCTGGGCTCTATATCCTCCGAAGAACGTACAGGCACCAGCATTTGGCCCCAAAGCAACTCTGAAGCCGCCCACGAGTGAGCAACTCGACCGGTGTTGACGGCATAAACGTTCAACCGGTAACAACATCCTCTGAGCAGGGACAGCGTGTGCCATCTCTCGGAACAACTAATTGGAACCAACCATGGCTGACATACAGGGCCTGGGTCACAGAAGCGGAACCGAGAATCTCCGTCCGGGAAGCTCAAATCAATGCTCCAGAGCTGCGTAAAGCGCGAGTTAGTGAACAAACATCGATGGTTCTGAATTGTGTTTCAAATTTCACGCAGCTGCGAAGTGAAATAAATGAGTGACTTCGGTGAAATCATAACAAGGTCTTGCAATTCTCCCTTCGCTTTGACATTCGCAATAGCTGAATTCTTCTAGACTGAGAGCTGAAGGGCCGGAATTCAAATCAGGCTGTCTTTACTTATCAACGCAGTGCGGGCCGGGGTGATTATATCGTAAACCACGGTTCATCCAATCGAGCCGCAGTTAGAGGAAGTGTTCATTATTAAGACTATACCATATTTTGTCTAGGGCTTCCATGGACCCCACTTTAATGAAATGTCTCAAGTGAACCCGGAGCACCTGCCGATGATTGAAGCGTTGACGCTAGAGTTTGACTGTATCATGGATCTGACTTTCCCTGAAGTATTTTCCCAGATACGTTGCGTGAGTAACTCAAGTTCATTGAAGCGAGAGAATTCGATGAGCCCTTCTTTGGAGAATGAGGCAAATGGCAAGACGTTAATGGCAAATGTCCGGGAACCAATGTCAGTCTTTTGATTGTAAATGGTGGTGACTGCCAATGACTCCTGCCATTTGCTAAACACGGTACAGATTGGACCTCGTATTTGTTCTCTTTGTGAAGGTTGGTCAATACTCCCCACTTTAGCATGATGTTTTAGACAAGTGTAAAGTGTCACGCATGATTCGATCAATGTCAACTTGTGCTTTTCTGAAAATTAGGTTTCAAGAATTAAAGTTGAAGATTTTCAAACTTTCAAATATGTATAGAATAATTTGCCACTTTTTTTCATGATCAAATACTCTAGTTTTGGAAATGCCGTATAGTTAAATGATCAGCATTGTTAAGAGAGATTCATTTCAAGATTGTCTTTAACTGTTAGTAGATGTTGACATTAGATCTGATGGCGTTGGTTTGAGGCTTTTTGTAATGCATTAACTGTAAAGTGTTGCAACTTACTACGGTTGTGGTTGATACCCATGATGGGCTGGTATGCATCCCATTTAATGGAGCTTTGTTGTTTGAAACATTTCAGTGTTCTTTCACACCTGGATATAATACTTCTCAAACTTTAGTAGCACATGCAAATTGTAGCGAAGATTCCCGTTGACTGTGTGTTAGCACATTATCAATTATTTCTTGTTTGGAATATTAATGCATGTGTTATTGACTTCATCTTTCTAATGGACATTTCTTAGATGCTTGCCTACATTCGCTTGTTTCTTAAAGATTGTAATCAGTAAGCATCACAAGGCCAGACCTCGCTGGGGACTGTAAAACATGAAAGCTTAGATGTTCACAGGCCCGCACAGGTGGTCTTTGATATGCCGACCCACAACCAGGCACCACAACCAGACAAACACATGACAACATCTTACATTCGTGACGAGACGAACAATAAGTGCAGGGATAAAAAAAACCGGAAGCTCGTTCCATTCATTATTAAAAAACAACATATCTCATCCACGGCGACGCTTAAGCCCAGTGTCTGCATCAACTCGTCAATGCAAGGTTGTGAATTCAAATTTGACTGGATTGACTTAGTACCAAAGACCCACAATTGAAGCGAAGTCGTACTACTCGTGTCATTTGGAAGGAAACCATGCATACTCAATGACAAAAAGTTTCCACCACGTGCTGTATTCTTTCACTCCGGTCTAAATCCAGATGAATTTAGTGATAAACTTCCTTCCAGATTGAAACAGTGTGACAGATGTCTCAGTTTGTAGCTCTTCCAAGCTTGAAAAGGTTTCCCTGAAGGATTGAAAGAATAGATACAAACGGGACAATTTCGCCCAAATTCCACAAACTCACGAGAACTATTATACACCCAACGCATAGATCATAGTAACACAATTCTGCTCCATGCTGACATACTAGATGTTGGAGGGCCTGTCTCTTTCATAGAAGCACAGTCTCTGCGTACCGGAGTTATGAACAGGCGTTAGCTGGGGCAACGGTACAACGATGAGCAGTATAATGACGGCCCTGTCACTTATAAGCTTTTACACCACATTAATATGCTGGGTAATTTTCATCACTCCCACACGTAGAGAAATAATTGCATTAGATGGAGGTATCCTCCCGAAACCGCTTGACTCAGGTAGACTATCAAACTCCAAAACTTTAGAGAAAATACTCCGGTGCTGGCTTTTTTGAAGGAACACCCCTTGATTCCTGTGCGACAATAACAATACACACGATCAAATGTTAGTGCTTTGCCAAACTGATGCAGTCAACTACTGCTAGAAACCCTTGGATGCCTCTTACCAGACACGAACCCACAACATTCATTAAATTTTGAAGCTAATCGATAACACAACTATCTCACCTGGGGAGCAGCTTCAAAGACCGTGAATTTTTTTCCCAAATGCTCGTCCAGCTCCAAAATTGCAGCAACATTGCCGCATCTGTAAGAAGCATAATGAGATTGCGAATCAAAACAGCTGTGCCAAAAAAGGCTGAACCGTAATTATTACATTTCATGTCTTATACCAAATGTTGCTCAGAAAATGTCCACATACGTCTCATAAAAAAACAGTAGACTCTTGTCAAGTGGAACTGCTGAACAAAGCCTATCGAAAATCGCAATACAAATGTAACGCAAAAATCAGACCAATTCTACAATCCTGCAATATTGTCTACCATTCCATGTATTGGAAGGAGAAACATGCCTGTAGCAATAATTCGGCGCGGACCAAACTGTCACCACCTGCTGGTTAAACATCCACTTATAGCCTTCCATAACCAACTGATGTGCACGACATATCAAATCTAGCTTGTTGGTGTGGTTGAAAGTAGTGACTACATTTCCTCCGAAAAGGTACCCAGCTCCTCTTGGGCTCAGGCCCCAGCCTTCAATCTCTTCAGGGTCAGACCATAGCAGATCACACATAGCTCCATCATGGGGTACTTCTTGCTTTCGGTCCACTGTTCTAATCTGCAATACACGAAGAAGTAAAGTAATCACAGAGAAGAAATGACTCTACTAATGAACGACATAAAAATACTGCAGTCACAGTTCGTAGACATTTAGTGCACTGTATTCTTAAATATTTGATCGTTAAGCATATATTACAAGAGACTACAAATGTTAATGAATCGTCTGTGCTCTACTCTTTGGACTTTTTTATTTGAATATGAACCTCAAGTGTGAAACTTGAGAAAGGATGATTTTAGCCTGCCAACTTGATAATCAATCCATATTTAGGACATCAAAACATTCAAGAGAAGGAAATGCCTACCAACCTGATCCAAAGTCGTTATTGATGGAGAAAGACCACCGTGAACACTAAATATTCGGTTCTCAATGAGAGCTGATAGACTGCACATATATATACAACAAGCCCGAGGTTAATTAGCTACCAAGTGCGTATTTTGTTCAAAGTAGAACTGTAAAGAATACGAGAACTGCAAGCCTATAAGTCAGGTTGATCTACTCCGGAACCGGCAAATCAATAACCTGCAGCTAGATTCTATTCAAAATTATCACTAAGAAATATTATTTGTAGTACAAATTACCTTAAGTAGTCAAAAATATCTGTACAGTATCTCCAAACGTTGACGGATCCGTATTTCCGCAAGCATTCGTCATAAAATCCATATACCTGAAATACATGCATTCGTGTTATGTGGTGCGTCGAAAAGAAATTTAAAAGCAACAGACGAGAAGTCATGGACTTGTTAACCGAGAGCACACAACAGAAGTTAGAGTTCTATCAGTTTACCTGAGTGATCTGGCGGCTTTCATGATTCCCTCGAATGAGAGTGATTCGGTCTGGGTACCGGACCTGGATGTAGACAAGGTAGGAGGACGATAAGCAGCATGTCTGAGCGTCGTTTTGAAGGAAGGAAACGTATATCCAATGCCATGAGCGGAAAAACGAGGCCAAGCCGGGACGGATAGAGAATCAAGTGGTAATCAAGCATACCTTCAAGGCCAGCAGCAATAGAAAAGTTTCCACGGAGTAGAAACCTCGATCGACAAAATCACCCAAAAAGAGATAGTTTGTTTGTGGACAATCTCCTCCGACTTTGAATAGCTCTTTCAAATCATAAAACTGCCCATGGATATCTCCACATATCTGCAATCAGGTACGAAAACGCAAAAGTCATTTCAAAATATGCTTCTTCGCTGTTGCAACATTTAATGCAAAATTAAATTAGATAAAACCTCCTGGAATTTTTCACAGCCCAAGTACTTAAAGAAATACAAAAGTCTAAGTCACACAATTGAGTAGAGAAATAAAATGTGCATAGCTGTGCAAGATTGCTAATTAAATATATGAAAGGAACTCAGCGCTCGACACTAGACATAGGAACTGCCCATATTTGGAAAAGAAGGGACGAGTTCCTTTTACTGAACAAAGTAGAGTTCCCCAGTTCAATCAAAGCATTTAGACCAATATAGAGCACACAAGTAAACATTAGGAAATGAGCATTGATGCAGCTTGAAGGTTTCCAAGACCGATGATTCACCAAATGACAACGTATGACGAAACAAAACTTCTAGCTCTAAAGCTAGGAAATACTCCATCAGAAAGAGAGCAATACTTGCAGAGGAATGATGTACCATTTCCAGGTTCTTATTGAATTCGGTGTTTGGGAAGATCCGAATTCACTTCAAACTAACGCAGAGTGAGTCAGTCTCTCGCGTTTTGATATGGCTTTTTCAGTTGAATTAATCTCAATTCGTGGTATTACCTTCTGACATTATGAGGTAAAAAGTCTGACTTAAGCTAGTGTGAGCCACTGCTCCACCTAGACTAGAGCACTTCTGTGAGAAAAATTAAAAGACTTCTGTGATGAGCAAAGAAGGCCAAGTGTCCCGAAATACCACCGTCCACTACAAATTACCTGACACCACGAATCTCACATTTGCAACTGTTTATTCACCCCCACTAGAAATACGCGAAAAATTCCAGGCGAAAACAAAAATGCTTAGGGTTCAAGGTCCAGAATAGCCGTGTACACGCTGGCCAGTTCTCGCATCAGCAAAATTAGGTTAGCATCAAGGGAAATACTGCCCCGACGGGCGTATAATATGATGCACGGAAGTGAAGTGACGATGACCTTCGTAGTGAAGTGAGTTCTGTATTTGGACGCAATTGAAATTGCACACTCCCATCGAAGTCAGATCTTCTCCGTGCGAGTTCGGAGATTTGGGATGGACGCTTAATGATCAACAATAGTTGTAATCCAGTGAACATTTCACAGGACACTACGGATGAGACTCTTGAACTTACAGTGACGGGAGCATCCACTCTTTGCACATTGCTCTCCTCCACCAGAATTTCTATTGCCTTCATACAAAGCGCCTTCACCTCTGACTCCTTCAGCGGCTCGCATCGTTTCAGCTGCTCAATCTGCCTATCGAGGTCTGACATGATGCGCTACCCCACCTCTTCAGTCAGGGATCCACTCCCTTCCGCCCACTCACACGCAAGAACCGATCATCAATGTCTCCTTCCATTCATCTCTACTTGCCTCACCCTCTCTTCAACCCTCCGTTCTTCGCCTCTTTCCTCCATCAAAACCACACCTCCGATCTTCCTCCCTCACAACCTCTCCACAATCCGTCCGCAACCTGCAGATCGCTCCCGATAAAAATCTGAGAGCAACGAAAGGCAAGCGCTGCGGGGGGGAAATGACACTAACAGCTCGACGGGAAACCTGGCATGACCCAAGCCAAGCCAGACAACGCCCACGATACAACCCCGCCCCGCCTCGCTACGCCCGAACACTGGACTGCGGAAAGAAAAAGAAACGAGCGAGTGAGCACCAGGACCAAGAGAAGAGAGGAGAAGAGCAGCGAAGGCACCAACGGCGGGCTCGCGGGCGGGCTCGCTCGCTTTGATTGCTCTACAGCCACAATTTAGTTGAAAAGAGGCCCCCTATGTGGCCGGACCCGACCCAAGCCAGGCCAAGTCAAGTCAAGGTCACGTCACCAGCACCCCCGTCCTGCGAACGCAGAAGGCGAAACAGAAAAGTCCGTCCCTCTCCTCCTCATCGACTGCTGCGATTACCGAGGAGAGTGGGCAGGCAGAGAATCAGCAAGGACTAGGACGGGCACGCAAACGTCCTCTTCTCTTCTTCTGTCTTCCCTTGCCTTCCCTCCCCTTCTCTGGCTCGACGAGGGAGAGTAGGAGGAGGAGGAAGAAGATGGAGAAGGAGAAGGAGAAAGGCAGGGACAGTCCAGTACACGGGAAAGTACACTAACTCCAGGCCAACAGGTCACTCACGCCCCAGTCCTCATCTGCCACCGCACCCACCGCCTCCACGCGACTGCGCTGCGTCTTACCAAACCAGCCCAGCCCAGCCCAGCCTAGCCCAGCCTCGCGCCTTTGCGACAGCGCCCAGGCTCCGCCTCCGCCTCGCGGGGGATTCTGTCTTCCTTCCTTCCTCTTCGTTTTCGTGCCCTCCCGTTCGTCTGGTCAACATGAATTTCGGACCAGTCCACTCCGGTCCAGTCAGCCGTAGTGCACTGTTTGTTTAGTGGGGAAAGCCGAGACAGCCCGGGCGAAAAAGTGGCCCCATAGTATCACTATTTCTTGTTACGAGTATGATTTAACTGTTACTGTCATCAAACCACCAGCTCTTTTTCTCGGTTTTGACTTCCCCATTTCTTACTGTCACCTGTCAGTTGCTATCAAGTCACCCTTGGCTTCTCCGCTCAATTGCCGGTCCTCCTCCTGGGGGCCCTCCCGGCATCTCTATGCGTGTCATCGCGGTCATGCACACCGAAGCCTACTACGTACGACTGGTGATTTACCTACCACAGTTGTACTTGGAGCGGCAGCCCATTTTCGAATTTGTGCCAGGTGCATGACACTAAGAGAGTGGTGTGCGGTCGCGTTATCTGGATCATTTAGCTTCTCGTGTGGGTGAGTGTAGGACCCAACTCTTTTTGCTAATTACTTGGTTCTCCTTCGATGATAAGAGTAGGGATGTATGGGCTGGAATTCTTCTTCTGCTTCTTTTTGAGTAGGTTTGTTTCTGTGGTGGATAGTAATAATGAAGTTTCCAAATCGTAAGGTATTTGCGATGAATTGTATTTCTCTTTGAAACTTCTGCGGAACCTTTGCAGTCTTGTGACTGCAAAAGTATCTATGTGACGGTTGGCTTTCATATTTTAAATTTTCGTCCGAAATGTAGCCGCTGAGTGGCATGTGCACGATCATGTGCACATGTGATTTTAGACTTTACAAAATTATATGTAAAAGACGACCCTCTGTTTGGGCTGACGATTCGTTTGTAAATGAAGATGTTTGAGAAATAGAGAGTTTTATTTCCAAAGTTGATAGTCGGAGTTACTTCTCACATTAGCGCGGATGGATTGCGGAAAACTATCATAACTCCGGAAGTGGTTCTTACCTGATACGACGTAATGATCACCATTCTTACATCTTTGCAAACATAAAGATAAATATGTGACCAAATTAGACATGAAATGGTATGGTGTGCATGTGTACGCAGTTGTGGTAGAAATTTAAATCGGTGATGCATTGAATCATTACTCAGTTGATTATATATACATATATATGAATTCTTTTCCACTTAATCCATCAATGTTAGACTCACATTGATTACAAGGTCGATTAGACCAGCGATAGTGACAGAACCCAAATCATCACGCCAGTAAACCTGTGCACGTCTATGATAATGGTCTGTATTGTATAATAGTCACCTATTATTCATATATCTGCATCAATAAACGCCCTAAAACGATGGTATAAATGACGAGGTATATTTCGTGGAAGAGATTTACAAAAACCTAAACATTTTACAAATGTTAAGACATATGTAAAATGTTTAACTGTGATTAAATATCATTCACGCTGAAAACAGAATTATTAAATGAGATCGCTTGGAGAAAAATGTCACAATTGTCCACTCTGTTGTGAGAAAGGACGTTAGATCAAGATTCTTATCATACCTATAAAAGGAAGTCATGGTATTGATCGAATCAATGTCAAATTTGATAGCATTTTAAAGAGCATGAATGGTGATTAGTTCTACATTCTTCAATTTTTTTTATAATTAAACATCAATATATGAAAATCTAAATGAATGAAGTACTCAACACATTCTTGTGGATGTTATATCTTCTTATTTATGCATATATCGATCTGGTGTACCATTCATTATCATGCTTTGACAGTTATTCTCTGACAAAAACAGGGCATTTTTCTGTAATATAAATAAATAAGAGGATTGATGTATGAACACATTCTATGATTAAATAATTTTCAAGATATTATACATGATGAGTATTGAATTTTTCATAATTCCTTATAATCAAGCAAAATTGAATCAATATATCCATCCCGGCCAGTTCTGTATTCACAGTTCAAGAACTGTTAATTTGTTGTTAATAAAAATTTACATATAATCGGTGGATGATCAATAGTATACATATATTAAATTAAAAAATATAATTATATTTACATGCAATCAATATCATCCTTCTATAAGTAATGAAAAGATCTTTACAATAATTTAATCTAAGTGTATCAATATACATATTTTGAATATAATCTTATAAAAATATATTTTTACTTGTTTCAAATTTAATATGAGTATGCTTCTATAAGATGAAAATCATTTGAACTCAGTATATGAGTTTTAGAAAAGTGGATTCAAAATTTCCCTCCTCTCCAAAATATCAAAAGTATATGTAAGTTGAAATCTATCATGCAAAATATAAGCATATTTTACCTGAATAAGGTTATTTTTATTCCATAATTTTCTTTTTCTTTCAACTCAACTTGCTTTTTTGTTAAATTTGACCTAAACATACATAAAGCTAAACGGTAATGTGAATCCAATGTTTAAATTATAAAAAGATATAGATGAAGCTTAGTGATTTTATTTCACTTACGCAAACCTTACGCTCATAATATTTTTTTTAACCACGTCATATGTAACAAACATTATCAGGTTTCGATTAAAAGATGAAAAAGATGACAATTTCCAATGATGAATCAAATATACGATATTTATTGTAAATTATATGAGAAAGATATCATTCGAATCAAAAAATCTTAGTGACTTTATTTTTTGTAAAAACTGTTGGATCTACAGTCAACACTTAATTATTTTAATTTTTAATAAATATTTTTTTCAAACCGAAATCTAATGTATATCTATATTCAATGATATATATATATATATACAAATATGTAACTATTTTGAAATAGCTACATAATTATCATTATTTTCCAAATGATATATATATATATATATATATATATATGAAATTTTTTATTTGCTGTTTGTAAGTTATAATGGTGGCAATTATTCTTCAGTTTATATTCATAAGTGCTCATATATAAAAATTTTATATATATATATATATGTTGAAGGATGAATTTTCACTTATTAAAATCTAAAAAAGTGCAACTTTATAGTAAACTCATCATGCAACTTTATAGTAAACTTTTTCAATATTTTAGATTAATAATATTTATATAAGTAATAATTTTAATATCTTAAATATATAGCAAAATAGTATATATTAGTTATACAGACCAAGTTGATTTCTCATTTATACATTGACCTGATTCATATATTTGTGTGTCATATACATAATTATACGAGTAAAGAATATTTCCACCCAATAATTCATATTAGACAAGTGTGCAAGTATATATTTTTACCATATAAGATTAAAGTCATATTTAGTCATTTGTAATTTCAATATGTTTCAACTGCAATGATGTAAAATACTCAGGCAAGTTCAAATTGAGTGAAATTAATCAAAGTATATATTTAATTTGTATATATCTATTATTTGTAGTCCATATTTTCTTACTATTTTTTGAATTCACTTATAACAAATAATATAATCAAAGGTCTTAAAAACCGAGAAGAGTAGTAATGTTTTAATGACTTTGCTTTATATTTTTATTATGTTTGTTTGCATCAATATTCAAAATATTGACACACAACTTATTTATTCTCAGAAAGCTGATTGATTTGGAATAATTTATATTATTATTATTTGAAAAAAATTTGCAAGTCTTTTATTTCATGTAGATAAACTTTTTATCTTGAAAATTTTGAGATACTACTTATTGATACTATCTCTCCGAAACATCTCTTTTACACGCATTAATGTCATGTTTAACCATCTTCAATAAGTCCATCACAAATTTCTTCAACTACGTCATTGCAGCGATCTTTGCTTAAGTGAGGAAATCTTGCTATGAAATAAATAGAAGATGTATATAAAGTGAACACAATTCAATGTTTTCATCAAATGAATATGATTTGAGAACTTTCTAATTCTTATACAAGAATTAAAAAGTCTGAAAGATGTGATTTTGTGATAGTAATTTTATGAACACAAGCGATGATTTTTTTTTAAAAGTTCAATCAATCAATTGTAGTTCTATTTGTTATTTGATCATCAAATGACCTTAATGCTTACTGTCTTGTTGTTATATTTTGAAAACCTCATTTGAGAATGATATCGAAAACTATCGAAGTCATCTTATGATGTCAGATAAGATTCATTTAAAAATTAAAATTATCATTCTATCTAGCGGTAGTCAAAACATGCTTCGAACTCAAATACTTGACCATTCCTCAAACTTGGTCCCATTAGCGCTATGACTTGCGTGGTTATAGTGCCAAGGGTTGCTTGCTCGACTGCAATCTAGACCATGCTCGGAATTCTCGTCTAGTATCTAAACTGCAGCTCTGCCAATTACCGGAGTCGGAACTCCCTTCACTCACAACACTCGATAGGCATGTCAGAAACTCTTACAGACGCTATACTGTAATGTCAAAATAATTTGGAGGCAGTTTCCATATTAAGAACGAGCGCATCAACAGAAGAGGAAAATGCTGTGGAACATGTCACCCCGCAAGGCCCGAAGGCCCTCGCGATGCCGGTCTACATATTCTCCCACTGCAGGAGTGGGACCGGGCCGGCGAAAAGGGACAAAAATCCGAACTCCATCCGAGGCCATAGAAACTGCGAGCACGAATGCGAGCGGAACCACGAGGTGCGAGTGTCGCACGAGGCCTCGCCTCTCGACCATGAGACACAAATCCGAGCAAAATTATCGTTTCTGGTGTGGCCGCCATCGTCGTCGTCGTCGGCACTACGGTCCGTGGCGCATCCACCGATTCTGCGCCAGCCAACCGGCCGCCTCCCGCCGTCTCGCGCCCGCTGCGGTACGCTTTACAGTACAGGAGATGGTGTGATGATGCGCTTTTCCCACTGTTGTGTTGGGTGGTACGGCTCCGAAGATGCCGAAGATCCTCCATCCTTGACGTACTTCCGGGACGGGGCGCGATTGTGCATAGGCAGTACTGTCCTGCGAAGGAAGGAAGGGAAGTGAAGGGAAAGGGAAGGAATGGAATGGAATAAGCCTGTCAGTGTCGAATGGGCGTATACTGTTGCGTTTCCATGTTTGCAGCTCCGGCGCTGAGGGGACGAGGAATTTGGACGGTGGTGCGCAGCGTCGGTGCGAGTCTCGAGGTGTGTTCCCTGTGATGAGCTCTCCGTGGATGGGGTTTGGATGACGCGATGAGACGGAGCCTCGGGCCCCTCGTGCAGAAGGTGGCGGGCGTTGGCGGCATTCCTCGTTGCGTTGGGCGAGCGGTGTTGGCGAGCAGGTCGAATTGAATTCATGGCTGGATGGGAGCAATTGGAATCTCTGAAGCTCAGACAGGCTGCGTAACGTCTCATAGGTCTTAGGAAAGTGGAAGGAGGAGTCCAGGGTGCACCGGGTTTGCGTAGATTGAGAGCCTGTTTTGGGACGTTCTGTCAGATGGTTGACCACTGAATGAGTTGATATGATCAATCGGGGCAATGACAGCGGGAGTCGTGCGCTTGAGTTGGGGGCTGGTGAGCTGAGATGAGACTTCTTGACCGGAGTGAGCTGAATTGAAGCATGAATTGAGTGCAGGAGCAGATGTTTACGATGCGACAGGAAGGATTGTTTGACAACACCTCATAGATTGGGGGTAGAACTCAGGGCAGTTTCCGGTGAATCAGGGCCCGTTGTTTCTATCAGCAGGCTTGTTACAATGCAAATAATTTGTAGGAACTAAGCAAAGATAGGAAATTCTCGCTGTGCCATCTTTTGGAAGTATTTTCTGCAATGTTCCATGTGCTCAAATTGCTGTCGTGCTGTTCAAGAGGAGAAGAAATGCAGCTGTCTTTGACACGGTCCATTTAAATGACCAAACCGATTTACCCGATGTTTTAAAGCAGATCCTATGATTGATTTCACCAAACCAAGCTTTGGTTTTGAAGCGAGCACGCTTCAACCGCTAGCTTCTTTCCTGACGATGTGTCCCAAGACGAGATACACTTACCGAAGAGCTGATGATGATCAAGATCAGAAGTGTCTACAATGAATGTCCCTGCTTCTGTTTGAGTTGTTCGGGGATGGGGACCTTAACGAGCTTCTCAAATTCTAAACTTTTCAGCCGGATGAACCATGTCGGAATGTTGAGCTCTACTGTCAACCCAGTCTCGGGAGGTCCTTTCACGATCCTGAGTCCATGTAAGCTACGTCCGGATGCCTTCAGAAATTCTCAAGAATCTTTGCCTCCAGATCGAAAGAGATGGTTGCGTTCGAGTCGCAAGATCACAGCAACGACTTGTATGCGTCGGGATAACGAAGCCACACAGAAAATGGACGTGGGAAGCATTGACGAAGCTCTTACGACTAAAGCCATAACTGTCTGTAAAAGTCTGCCGGGTATGTCATCTTGTGCGCCGGTAGTCTTTTTCCGTAAGCATACAAAAGCAGGCATGGTCTGATCTTGTTCTAGATTCTTTTCCTAATATGATGTACTGAAAGGAAATTCAGCGTCTATTCACAGCTTACCAGAAGGCTTTTGAGCTATTTTCTGCGCCTTTTGAGCCATCAATACTATCTCCTGGGCCATAGCAGCGAAATATCAACTCCTATCACTGACTTGTGATCCACTGGATGATTCGTCCTCGGTGCAGTGGTGTTGGCTATGTTGACCGCAGTACTCGGAGGCACACCCGCTCGAGCAGGTGTAGAATCTACTTTTCAACCGATGTTCAGTGGGCTGGTGGATGCGACAGCTAACAAAGTATCACCTGTGGAAGCTATATTAGCAAGGCAGTTGGCTCGTAGGTGTGCACTCGTACTTTTAGTGATCTTACAGCTGGAGGTTTCTCCGTTGATTCTAACATCATGACATGCGGAATACATGAAATGGTTCAGAGAGTGTGATTAATTTGTGAGAGGACAGCTTGCATCACCTTGAATAAGTGTTAGTCCAGATTTTCGTTTTGGTTTTGTACATCTGGTCTTGAGTGTGGGAGTAATGGGGTTTAGGGTTTAGGGTAACATCACCTGAACCCTTCTTTGCGGGTCTATGTTTTGGGTGCAAGACGAAAATCGGTTGGTCCTATCTATTGCATTGAAACGAGTATGATAGACATGTGGGAGTAGGTTAGTCGTACAGATTAATCTGTAGCTCCTTCTCAGGTACCTAGTATCTTCCTCGAGTTGTATCTATCTAGTGATTCACTTCTCTTTCCCATCTCTATCTGCGTTTTCATCGGGCTTTTTTAATGGCGATGTTTTGTTTGTTCGTAGGTTTCGGGAGATGAGTGATGAAGAGCTCATTGTGGTTCTTCAAGAACTGTTGAAAGCCAGTAGATCTTCTATCAGTCCGGAGGATCTGTTACCTCATGGGAAAAGCCGTATGGACTCTCTTCTCGAAGAAGAGAGCAAGGAAGATAACAGCAAGCCAGTTGATGATGGACTTACCAATAAGGATAGAGGGCCTCAATCCCAAGGAGGAGGTGAAGTTAGAATTGAAGGACCCGAGTCCTCTTTACCTGGTTCAATTTTTTCAGATTCAGGTCCCGAGGAAAGCAAGGAAAATACTCGCAAGCTAGGTGATGTTAAGGATAGAGACCCTGAATCGAAAAGAGGTGAATCGAAAAATGGACGTCTTCAGTCTTCTGCTCCTAGTTCGAAATATGTTAACCCTGGTTCAAAACAAGAAAACTCTGTGGTAAGGCCACCGAGCTCCGTGGATGGAACTGCTCCTGCGGATGCTTCTGCAACAAAGAAGTCGGAATCAGCAGCAACTGGTGAGTTAGAGATTGGTGCAGCAGAGCAGTCCGCAGAGCGGAATAGTAAGTTGGGAGAGTTTCCAGGAGATAACCAGGATATGACAGGGATCTTATGGGAGGAGTGGAAAAGAAGGCTGGATGGACAGAAAGTGCTAGAACCAACCACCAGTGTAGAAATTATCATGCCGTTGAACGCGGCAGACATCTGGCGAAATATGCAGACGTCTAGCATGAGGATCGCTGAAGGAGCAAGTGAAGTCACTTCCTGGATCAGCGAAAATCGGGAAGCATTGGGTGGCGGTATTCTGGCTTCAAGTAGTATATTTTGTGTGTTGTTTATCAGGGAGAAAATACTCTCTCTCTCGTCAGGTAAGGGAAACAAAGGTGAAGCAAACCTCAAGGTTGATCGGACGCCTACCAAGACCCAGGTTTCTTCACTCAATCAGAAAGATGCGGGACAAGGACCTTGGAGCTTCTTGGAAGCTCTTCCCACATCCTTCAAGGCTGCTCGAAATGGGATTCTTGGTACGGAAGATAACTCTGCCCAGATCGAGAAAACTTCTTTTGATTCGACAACGAATTCCATCAGCTCTTTTGAAGGTAACCCGGCTAGATCAAGTACTGTTCCTTTGAAGTCAGAAGTGGGGCCTGTTATCAGTGAGTTAAGTACAAGTAGTGACAGGAAGGGAGATAGAGACGATAACGATCTGAAGATGAGGTTGAAGACGGGCCTAGATGCCGCAGATGCTGCCTATGGGTCTGGTCTAGATGACCTCAGGTCTTTCGAGTCTTCTAAGTCGCAAGGAAGACTTAGTGGCAAGGACGATGACACAGGCTACAAAAGTCCTCGTCTTCCGCCGTCAAACCCTGCGACCCTGAATGGTAGTAGGAGGAGCTGGCTAGGAGGGGAAGGGGATGTTGACAGATATTCCATTGATGACTCTCCTTTGTCAGGGATAAGAAGATTAACCTTGACTCCAAACACCAGAGAAGAAAGAGGCCGAGGGGGCAAATCCTATCGGGGACTCGGTCAAAGCTTTACTGACAGTAAGAGGTTTGGAGTGGAGGCCCGTGAGAACCCTGATCTTGCAGTGTCAGACACGACGCAAGATTTTGGAGCAAGTAGCAGCTTCCAGTCGAACTTCCCGCAGGCAGACTTAAGAGAGAAAGCAGTGAATGAGGATGTGAATCCACCGGAGTCAATCAACCAAACATCCTCAAGTTCTTTTTCAAGACCAATTCAAGTCGATTCTCTTGCCTACAGGCGGAAAACTTTAGACACCGTAAACGAAATAGAGGACGGAGTCGGTACCCGTGAAAGTGGGAGCACGAAGTCCTCAAGCTTCTTTACTGCAAGTGACCAAAGTGATGGTAGCGAGGAAACACCTCCGACTGCGCAGTCTGGAGAGAGTGCAGAGGTGACGTCCATGAACGTCGACCTTAGGGGTTCTCTACAAGGAAAGACCTCGTCCATCAGTGGAGGTGTGAAAATGCGTGATGAGTATGGCTTGGAAGCCCAAGCTTTTCGTAGAGGATATACTGAAGATGTACACCAAAGTTTCACGGGAAAACAAGAAACTGTCCGTGATGACGGAGTCACACACATTAGAATTACTAATGTGAGTGACACAGATGAGTTGAATGTGTTGGATGAAGCTGAAGTTGTGGATTATTTAGCGATACACCAAGTTGATAAACTTGTTGGAGCCGACAATCACATCAACATATCAAAAAAGGGTGTCGACGGCGAAGAGGTCCTCAATAAAACGAGTTCGATCACTACCGCACCATATGCAACTGCAAGAAACGTCCGATCTGGTGAGATTAAATCTAGTGGCACCGTAACAGAAGTCCGGAACGATGTGGACAAATTTCCGGAATCGAATAGAGAGTTTCTGGAGTTTAGACCAGAGGAGGTTTTGAATGGGGATGAGGAAGAAGCACCGACGTCTTCTGATTCTAGTGCACCACATGTGCCAAGGGAGCGTATACATCACGACGAGCGGATCATTGTTTCAACAACTTTTGAAGGGAGTAGGTCGGAGACAGAAGTAAGTCAAGAAAACGTGCCAGCAAAAGTGCCAGCTCCAAGTGAAGACGCCGATGGCACTGGGAGGTTGGTCACACCAGACTTAGACATGGAGGATGTGTGGGCGAGTAATGCTACCTCTGTGTCCACAGGTGAAGGTTTTGAATTACCTTATAAGAAAATCAAGCAGGAAGTTCCAGAAGATTTTGGAGAGAATGCGAGAGGCTGGGTGGATAACAAAACCTACGCAGTTGGTCAACCGAAACGTGAGCTGGATTCATTTTTGCATAATCAGTATCTGTGGGTCCGGGATAATGACGGTGTCTTCATCAAACAACGAAGAGAAAGCCAAGGTAAGAGTCGGTACTGAAGCTTCTCCACGTGGGATGTTGCTAAAAGCCTGACCTCAAACATGGTCACTTCACCTCACTGAATATGATCACGTTTGACGGTGTCTGCCGTTTTTTGACTTGGTCTTGATGGGGACTTGTATTTCCAGATAGAGGAAGCAGCAGGGTTACTGGAGATATCAAAGGCTCAAGGAAGGAAGCGGTCGATGCATCAAATGCACCTAAACGAGCGTCTACTAAAGGGGACAGAGATCCAAAGTTCCCAAGACGTCAAAAGCAAAAGAGAATATCTTCTGGATTCGATTATCGACAGTTGTATCTTACACCAAATAATGAAAGCAATTCTTCTGATCAACAAACTGGTCCCATAACTTCTGGAAGCAGGAAGTATACTTCATCTACAAGCTCTGCAGACGCTGGGAAGACAAAACCTATAAGGTATGGGTCAGGGAGGACGCTTTAGATTTTTGCACTCTGGCTAAGTCAGCCAATGTTGAATGTAACGTATGAAGTATTGTACAAAATTTGTAAACGACACCCAACCCTACATGACAGCAAAAATTGCTGTCATATTGGGTTCATTTTTACCTGTCTGGGTTCGCATGAATCAGACAATATGTATGGAAAGTCAAGTGTATCGATGTATAATTTGCGTGTGGGTTTTTCAAAAAAGGATCGTCTGGCTTACTAAAATCAGTAAGTATGAATGTTGAAAGAGGTGTGTCGAAGTGTTTTATGTTTATTGTGGGTAGCATTCCCAGTCTTTCCATCAGTAGTCCGCAGGCCACAGTTGTGCTAAGTATAGATGACAGCTTGTGGCTGTGTCAGGCAGCAATTCTTTGATAATTTCTCACCGGTTCATGAATGTCCGCGTCCCGGATAGCGAAATGATTTTCGCAACGCCTGTTTACACGCCCGGTTTAGCGTGATAGTTTGTACTGCCAGTGGCTGATCTCAAATGTGTGATGTGATACGGAAGGACTTCAACATGATATAATGGAATACAGGATGTAATGCATAATAAAACGGTAGCAGTACACTCTAGTGCTCATTGCAATTTGGTTTTATTTTGGTTTTATTATAAGGACTTAGTGCAATAGGCCGCGTTACTGATTCTAAATGGAAGTGTGTGTCTTGTGGGTTAACTCCTGTCTCGTTAGTCTGCCTCATGTTAATGATTCTGTCTCGATTCTGGCCTTGCCTAGGTACTAATTCTAGTGGAAGTAAAGAATATATTTTTTAATCTGTAGACAGTTTCCATGTAATCACGTTCGACTCTGCCATGGAATCGAATTCTTGAGAAACTTGTCCGCGTCAAGTTTTACTTAAATTACCTGTACGTAGTACATGAATTCTAAACATTGAGCTTCAGTTTTGAAGCTTCTAGAGACTCATTGAGTCTATAGGTAAAGAGAGCTCATGTTTAATAATTCTTCCTCACCCGCCAGTTCAAGCACCCTAGCTCTCGAGCCTGCAAAAATGGCCTCTGGTGCTTGTCCACTTTTGGAGTACGCTTCTTCCTGGGAACCCACACAGTATTAGCACTTCACCTGAAATTCCTGTCTCGACAGGTTAGATTTTGCATGTCTGACTACATAACATCCCGTTATGAGTCAAGGACATATAACCGGTGGTTCCTTTTTCGCAGTGTACACTAAGATCATCTACACCAAAACCAAAGCCAACAAAGAGTAGGCTTGATAAGTGAGGAGATTACCAGAACTCGCCATGCGAAAGAAATGCCTGGCTTCTCTCTAGTGAGCCTCTCCGCGACCTCAACCACTGCAGATGTGCCAATTGCATATTAGGTCCTGTATTCTAACAGCAAGATCTGTTGTATTTCTTGGTGAGTTGTTATTGCTGTAGCTTGCAGCTCACCTTGTGTTACATGGCCTGCTCTCAGGGAAGAAATGCACCATAGATCCTCAAACACGTCTAGTTGCTCGTTCGATGCTCCAAGCACCTGTTCGGACATCCCTTCAGAAGTCAGTACTGAAGAAAAGCTCCGAGAAACGCAGTCAGAGGCACTAAGAACACGAGATCTTGTACTTGCCTTCAAGTTGCCGGTATAAAAGGTTGATCCCAAAATCTCAGCAACAGCTTTCAAATTACCCCTTCCGCACTCGCACAGGGCTGCTGCCAGCTGCATCTCGACACAGTAAGGGAGTGGTTTATGAGTACGCGGCATTGAGGAGCTAGTAGAACGTCCACTGAATTCGGAGCTAAGTTTCTGTGACCGATTACCAAGATCAGCCTGAACATTCAGAGGTATCTAGCTTGGCAACGTACTCTATCATCCTTCTCGAATTGAACTTTATTTGACTGGCTACTACTATCGAGAGCAAATCCTTGAGACGAGCGTTGGGACTATGATGGACATTAAAAGCTGTGCCTGTTCGGTGAAGCCCTATCGTGCTCTGCAGATTAGCAAGAGAATTGACAGTACTGTCTTTGTGAAGTAAACAATCCTATGAACTAACAGTACATTTGCGCATAACTTGGATGACTCAAACCATACCGATATGACACACTGCATAGTGCTCGGTTTGTATACGTCCACGGCCAGAACTCTGCATGACCATCACACATCTGCTGAATCTGCTGTTTCGCTACCAGGGTAACATCAATACTTCGAAACATGAATTCACCTCACGATTCTTACTTGCTTTTCACACTCTCGGCCATCTCGATTGCCTCTTCCGGCTGATCAGCACGCCCGAAAGCCCATATCGCAAGTAGGTCTAGTAGAAGTTCTTGATGCTCAAATGCCTGAGGCCCAAGCACAGTGCTTCAACTTTACAAGAAACATTCGAATGAAACGCATTGAATCCCGAACTAATCATTAGCACTTACACCAAATAACCAAGAGAGATTTACACGATCATCACTCCCATCTCATATTTTCCACACAACACCTGATATTTCGAGCACTTGACATGCCAGATTAGGAGTACTGTTGGAGGGCTACTTTCAAGACGTTAATGCACGAGGCGCTGGAGTATAGGAGGGAATGTACCCTGACTATCAGAAATCTAGTAACTCTATCAGGGATGCAAGTACAATATCAAAGCATATCTTATGGTGATACTACCATACAAAGAGGCTCACGTCAGAAGATCACAACGTTCAGAATCATGAGTGAGTAAAATCTTTCAAACTTTCTACTCACCCGTTCTTTTAAAGAACTGACTACTTGTAAAATTCGTTCCTGGACAATGCTGCTATCAACCCGAATTTCCATGCGCAAAAGAAGACCAAGAGCATTTATGTACGTCTGCACCAAATGAAATATTTACATTTAGATAATCTGCACAAATAGCTCTCTTTTCCATCCAATGCAGTCGTGACTGTTATGGACCGTCAATTATGGCACCTCCAGTCCTCACTGAATCCATTGATTCCATTCTTAGCCCCTTACTGCTCTGTCATGATGAAAGATCACACTTATTCAGAGTACAATAACGAGTTATTTCGAGGATGACGACGAAAGATTTCCTGAAGTGAGAGTTCCATCACCCAGCATTTGATGAACCTTTGGGACCTAAATTAACATCCATAATTGAGAACAGGGACTGGGAAATTCAAGTGCAAAGGTTTTAACTGGTATCGAGATGGAACACCTGAGGGTTCTTGATGACACGTTGGGATCCCCAAATATGTTCGTCATATATATAAAGCACAGTCTTCAGAGCCGAACGACCGCCTAGTTCTAGCTGGCAAGCAGCCACATGCCACCAATTGTGTTCACGCCTGCTTTGGAGCACAACTTGTCATTCATTGAAAGCGAACAAGATTCTGGAGGACGAAGTTATGTATACAAACTTCATTGTCATTCACTGAAAGCGAACAAGATCTTGGAGGTCGAAGTTATGTAGACAAACTTCATTGTGGCAGACACCGGCACCATATTGGAACGAGATGCTTTCTTTCAATCAACGCTCAGCTATTTCTAGGTGGTAACACATGAGAATTGGAAACCCTGAACTTAAAAGAGAAAAATTCACATACATGAATGAGCACCGGGTAAGCCACGAGCTGCAGGATATGTTCATAAGAGTCAAGGCTTCTTTGAAGCGGCATTGGTACTCAAGCGCGTGGCAGAGCTGTTAACACATTTGAGTTATGGTCAGCGAGATACAACTGCTGTACCAGCTGCGAAAAACTTGAGCGGAGTTAACCGATATTTGCTGGGAAATGAAGCGCCTCAGAAGGTACTAGTTAGATGAAGACCTTCTGCACCAATTAAAAGAGAAAAAAGACGGGTGGAGTGGTACAAACTGCGTGCTGAGCCCAAATATCTTGAGCCTCAATAGTCAAAGCCATTCTTGCAGCACTCTCTCCTTCTCTGATGCTGCCGACCTCCACGAGCGCAAACGCCAACATTCCAAACACGTAGCCTCTCTCCACATTGAAAGGTAGTGCCTGCAAAACCGTTCCATTTATTTTTATTTACTGTGCATTTCGACCTTTGTGCGTTATATACATTTTCACGTAGAGAGAAGAAGTAAAGTCATTGATGTCTCAAAATGATGGAACCCTGTTAACGGTGCATGATTTTACCTTCAAAGCCAGACGTAGCATGTCCGCACTCCGTCCCATGTTAAAACACAGAGTTTGGCCTCTTTTCAAAGTTAGCAGATCTCTTGGATAACTCTCCAGAACCTGCAACACAAAACCGCCATTCAATACTATTCTACACGGTATAAAAAAGAACTCATCCAAAAATTGAGAAACGCACTAGAAAGTAGGTTCAGAGAGAGGGCATTGCCTCAAAGTGTCGCGCAAGTGCATCCTCGGAGCCATGTTCTATCCACGCAACCAAAGCCCGGACGACAAGCTCCTCGTATTTGGATGCTTTAACCTGGAAGAATTGTATGAAATATCAAAGCTTGAGAAACTCGTTATGTGGAAAGAAGCCGTTTTTTTGCTATTAGACGTCCTTCGACGAAAGAGTTTCCTCACAACAGTTGTCTCAGGGAAGGTCAAAAACTGTATTGAAGCACTGAAAGCATGAAACTTCAAGGACACAACAACGATAAACCTATTTTGTTTTTCTCTTGAAAGGCGTGAATCATTGTCCTCTGTGAGGTTGAGCTGAAGCGTACCAGGTTTTCCTTGGCTGCTGTGAGGTAAATGAGAGCTCTAGGAGGTAAAGTTGTGGACTTTTGAGGAGCCCATAGATAAACTGCAGCTAGACCACAAGCCAATGCACAACAATTGTCTGCATCTGCTGCCTGTAATATGACCCGCTTGTCACGACCATAGCTGAGAACCTGCGAGATACGTTACCTTCAAAACCCAAGACACAAGAAACTAAAGTAGGAAACACATTCACTTGGATGTCTTACAGAAACCAAGACTCCATTATCAAGAATGGCGTGATGAAATCTTGCCACCCCTAGTTAATCAGTACATATAGTCTGACAAAACGAGATCACTCATGAATATGGTGCCTATACAAACAATCGTGTTCACTTACAGTTTCCTACTATATTTAAGAAAACTGATGTCATATTCTCTCAGAATTCTTCGAGCACCACTCCAGACACCAAATAGGCGATCATATGTTCACTAGAAAATGCTCGTATACGAACTGAACACGCTCGACGCTTTTGGGCATTACTTAAGCTCTTCTGCTAATTACCCAAAGTTTAAGCTAATAAGTATTTTGTTAGAACATAAGCATCTTCACTCTTTCTATAGATAACTTTAAGTGTATTCCAAATTATCCACAAGATAAACCCCGAGGTTCTGCTATAGATAGCTCTCGAATGCCTGACCCCGTAGTCAAGGCTCGTTACTGTTGTCACCAATCAAGCAAAAGCCAGCTAAGCTCAAAGAATCGACCGAAGGATTCTAGCTGTGGGCACTTCATCATTTGCCAGTTTGGAGGGGAGCTCAGAAGAATTCAGACATTCTGGTGAAACTGAAGGACTGTCGATCACAAAGGAGAGCTCACTTCAATATAGTATTTGTTAAGGAAAGTGATGCAGTCGTCGGAAGAAGAGCGCACTTCGTACCCCCACAGATCGTTCTTATATGAAATTGCTGGGTCTGGTTTCTCGACTGAACTTGAGGCCATTGCAAAGTAAGTAGCAGAGTGTGAATTCTCCTCATCGAAGACTTCTGAGTATCAAGTCCCGAGGCGTCGACTGTTTGCTCAGCATTTCTTTACGCAACCTGGTAAAGTATGAAGAATGTTATTAGTAGATCTACGTCCACAAAACCCAGTGTCAAATAGAAGTCACACGTCATGAAAAAGACGGAGTTCTGTGAAATCGATTGCTTCCCCGTCAGCTGAGAAGGTCGTCTACGCTTATGTCCACGGCTAAAAAAATCTATAAGTTTTTTCTCACAATCCTCAGCATTCTCTCTCGCATTGCAGCTGGATAGATCTATAATCTACATCAGGATGACAGCTCCAGCTCATCTTACGATTCTCCCAGCTGGAATTCAAGATGCAGGACTCCAGCAGATCACAAAAACGATAAGGAACTGAGAAAAAACAGAGCATCAAAGAAATCCATACAGCTTAAAGATTATCGGCGATTCAGATATCAACACCTCGTGTAGTCACTAGTCGATCGAAAATAGCTCCCCTCAGCAATTATGGGCGAAACGCACTGATCAGAAAAAACCCAACAAGCGGTAAGCACAAGGCCGAAGACTGGCAGGTACCTCTGTGATTCCGATTCATTTTTGCGTACCGAGAGTCGTTCGAATTCCCGTCTATTTTAAGAACAGGCCTCGCCCAAAACGACGTGGCTGTCAGTTGTTTCTTTGTCACCTCCTCCGGAACTTTATCAGATAACGACTCGACTGTCATAGCATTAACTTTAGCTTCCGAAAAGTGAACCGACCCTTCCCCTTGTGCTCTGACCCCATCCAGCGGATGCTTTCGGCTTGTTCTGACCGGCATAACCGTCCCATAGAGCGAAAGACACGAACATCGAATGTGGACACCGATGGCAGGGCTTACCACTGACCAAACCTTCCACAATACCAAATGTTTCAGGCCGAAGCACTCTTGAAATTTGTCTTGCAGCCGGAAGGAGGAACTGGTGTAATTTTGATGGCGGGCAAAATTTGCACGACTCTGAGACTGACGCCGCCAGTTCTGTGATGGTTAGAGAGCTTGACGAGACACGGGACACGGAAAGCTTTACTATAGTTGGAATTGATGGAACCACTGCAGATGTCTGAAGTGCCCGAGAGGCAGAATTATTGACAGTTGAAGTATAAGTCGTGGTATGCATTGCACAATGATTAAAACATAAAATGTGAAGTCTCTCTTTCCGTATCAAGAGGTTTTTGCTGTACATAGATTTAAATACTACCTCCTCCGATTCCCGTAACAAATGCTTCTTCATTGTCTGTGCGCTCTATGATTGTAACGTAGGCGATAGTCACAAGGAGTGCAGGTAAAAGAAATGAAATAGTAGCACAAAGAAAAACTAGTAACTTAGCAGAAGTATGGGAATGAAGATCAATTATTAAGGGATGAAACCAACAGTATAATATGAGGCTAGGTCCGAACAGCATTACAGTCAGAAAATTTACTCTACACATAATCTATATCTAGTCATAAACATGTTTGCGTATTTTCTAATTATGCACATCTTTGATTTTTTTGTATAATGTAACACCAATTCTAAAGCTATAGAGTAATCGATAGAGTGATGAATAAAATCACCCATTTCATATATGCTAAAGAAAGATACACCTTGGTGCAAACATAGATGTCAAAGCTCTAGCATCATTTTGTTATCATAGGCGTTATGACTTTAGGTTTTTCATCATTTTAAATAAAATTTTTTATTCATTGTTATCATCATTGAATATCAAAATGATAAATGATTCATGTATCCATCCATTGACGCAATCTTTAGAAAAATATCTATCAATTTACACCAAAAGAAGACTTGTGTATGATATTATCTATCGCATGTCTAACATATGATTTCTGCAACTTCTTTTGAGATCATACCAAGATTATACGGAATATAGATCATATCTACCATAACCAAAACGGATTCATACTTTCAAGGGAATGGATGGAGTTGGGCGATCCTTGTTGGGAACTAATTATCATGACAATCTATTCAACCATTCTGAATTCAACAAGTTCATCAAGGAAAAACATAATAATGCCATAATCTACATTGTAGTTACATCTCTAACTTTATGAATCAATCTCCCGTCCAATAATTGATACCAACAATTGATAGCATGTATCTCTAACTTCAAATGAGTAACGATATTCAATCATCACATTTGCTTGTAGTCTTATTACAAAGCTCTTCAATTAATATGAAAAGTTCCTGCAAACTTTGTGTCTTGTCACTTCACTTCTTAAGTCTATCCTTGATCATGCAATGAACCTAATAGATACTAAGATTTTTACCTGTTATCTGTTTCTGATTCAACTGGTTTTTAGTGTATCCTTAGTGTTGGTGTAAAGTATGAATCCACATAGTAGAAATTTTTGAAATGATGTAATAGATTTGTAGATTAAATCCCATGATGGTATCAAGTCCTCAATTTTGTTAAGATAATCTTGCATTAACTCATTATAATTATTCACGGGTGAAAAATGACAATCAATTCCAACTTCAATATCAACAACAGACAAGACACTTAAACCTCAAGTTGGCTTCTCTATGTCTCACTCCCGGTGTCACCTTTATAAAGTTACCTTAGGTCATCTTATTACATGGTGTTTCCGGGTGAGACTGGCAGTACAGGGATTGGATAGACTGCAAGAGCACATATACAGATGAGAAAAATATACTCTATTAGAATATTTTCGGATTCTAACCCAAAAAACAATATCGTTATCTCCATAAACTGTTGTACAGACATTCCAAATCATCCGTTGCTTCTGTCAACTGCAGCCGCATTTCACACTTATTTCGTTAGCGTTGTGGGGCCATTATCGACGATAAATCAAGCACAACGTGGCTGCCTCACTTTCAAGTAATTTCTCTAATCAAACGGCAGACGTGATGGAGCTCTTTGGCTAATCTTCTGAAATTTTTCCTTTCTGTACATTGACTCTACAATCGAAGTAGCCAGTCTGTTCGAAATCACCCCTGAGATGCAATTGGAAAGAAGGTAATGACCTGATGTTCAGATTATGGGCCTTGCCCCTTCAAATCATTCGTTGCAAGTGGAACCAAATATCATGAGGTGAGGTGTGAGACTCAGAAAATAAAGCTGCGAGGTTAGACTTTACGAGCCTGCATTCCAGAACATGGATTTTGTTTATTTCAGTCCTGTCGGGTGACACCGACCGGACAAAACATATCAAGAAGTGCACCGACCCATATGTTTATTCGATATCTGAAAGGGCAAATTATATCCAAGAGGTTCTATGCTGCTAAGTTCAGATAATAACCTTTGCAACTCGGTTGCTAGCTCGGTTGCAACTAGGTCGGCCATCCTGCGAAAGCTCTAAGAGTTCAGGTTCTACGCTACTTACTGCGTTCAATGATTCCAAAGAATCTCCAAAATGCAAGTGTATCTAAGGACAAAATGCGACCTCATAATCGGTGCCAGTTGGGCAGACGAAAGTGGAAGTAGCATCGTCAAAGTTATAGCTGTAAGCATCATAACATGCGCTTTTCCACAATTTGGTACTGTCCGTAGGCCCTATGCCAGCAGTTCCATCCGTGTTGATGCAAGATTGAGAGCCGCTGAGATGAGTGAGAAGTACATTGTTGGGCTGACAAAAAGAGCTGCATTCAAAAACTGCAAAATGTGAGAATATGTTGCGACGGAAGTGCACAGCATTGGATATAGCATAACATAAATGAAATGCAGAGTTGCGATGACAAGATGACTGAATAGATACTTTCTTACGAAGTTTGCGTGAGAGTAATTCAATTTTTGTTCACCTGATGTCATCGATAGTACAGCCTACAGATTTGCAACTTTCACTTGAAGGACTGATGGTCATGCCGATCGTGTATGCGTTCTGCAAGAGGACAGAGGCGAGTGCTCAGAACACGCAGTTGAGTCGCGGGTCTAAAATATCAGATCTTTATAACACAGCTCCTCTATTTCTTCCACTAATCTGTTTTAGATTGGATCAACTTACCACGTTACTCAAGTCATAAAAGTCCAGTCCGTTGCTGCCGATTGTGAATTCAGCCAAGTTGGCCAGATTTCTGTCAGTGGCTGCGTTAGGAATTCCAGTGACGGCACATTTTCCTGTCACGGAAGCATAGACGACTGCAGCGGTCCAGATGCATGTGGCACCCAGGTCAACAGTCTGCGAAGCTCCGGCTCTCAGATCGTACTGAACTATGTCTTGCTGTTGTGTTTGTGAGCACGCAGTCACCGAGAAAGGACATCTGTTCCGAATCTTGACAACGCAGCCTGCAGCCACGAAGAAATTTGTATGTCAGACAATGTAATGTACCAGTGTGTATGTTCGAGCATTGTGTATCAAGTCCGTAGAATATAATCAATGTCATTCATGATCAGTCAGCACGGACACGTCTCATATATAAACAGAGAACCTAAGTTCCAGAAGGAGTCCACGGCCTCACCGGTTGCGATTCCAGTGGAGATCGAGTACAAAAGAAAAAGTCCCAACGAGAGACGGGAAGTTGCCATGGCTTCAGAAGAATGCCTGTAGAAAGATAAAGGTTCTCTTCGAAGACACGAAGGGCGAGCACTCAGCTCGATGGGGCTCGCTTCTACGGATGCATGTCCAGTGACCAGCATTTATAACTAAAGATTGGAAGAAATTCGAAGGGAAAGGGCTGGTCACGGACCAAGAATGTTGATTTCCCGGAGCTCGAGATCTGATTTCGTGGAGCGAATCGTCGTCAGATGTGCTTGCAAAGAAGCCCTGCGAGAAAATCTGACTCTAAGGATCTGACCGATGGGCTCGTTATAACAATCCATCGCTAGGTTAAAAGTCTGATGCGTCGTCGGGCTCGGCATGAGGAACGAGAACTTCGCCGCGTGCGTTAGTTGTACGTACGTACCATCCATCCACCCAAAGATGCCAGTGACAGACAGTGCCTGGTTTGCCGGATGCCATGTCCTTTCATTCGGCACGCTGGGGGCTCCGTCCAAGTGTCACCTCACAGAAAAGCTGGCTCATCTCTCGGCCCTCCGATCTTCAGGATAGCATCCGAAAGCGGGGACGCAATGCTCATGTTTTGGAACGTTGTATAGGTCCACATACAGATCCATGTGATTCATATCTTACGGCTTCGATAAAATGCAACGGAGTGTCCTCACTCTCGTACTTGATAGCATGAGTCTAATCTGACCCAAGCACATTCTCTTTGTTTTTTCTAGACAACAAAAAAGGGTGAGTTATAACAGCTCTATAAGTCACAGGACTGTTGGCAAATTTGCTCGCTGCTGGCGAATGTGTCGTGATCACCAATAGAAGAATTGCTGTTGGAACTAAGGTTGAGGGTGGCATGCTTTGTCACGACAGGGTTGATGGATTGTACCGAGGACTGTGGAGGACGACGTGGAACCCAAAGCAGATGCTGATGGCTGTGAACGTCAAATGGATGGCTATATCTACATTGATACGTCTCAGAAGCACCCATAGATAGCTCCACTGAAACATGATCTGCACGAATTGTGGTTCAGGAAGCTGATGAACGGACCGATCAAGGATGTCGAAATTCGAGAGCAGAAAGGACCTGTGGGTCATCCGTCGTTGCTACACAATGTTTGAACCGGCTGATAGGAGATTTGGGTGGAAGGTCTTTGGACAGACAGTGTGACATAGATAATACTCTCTCCATTGTCTCTGTTGACCATCGTTGCTTTTTGCACTTGGCGGAGCGTACATATGTCGGGTAACGCTTGACGCCAAGAGCAATTTGGAAGTAGAATGTCGATGTTTTGTCCACTCTAGGAAGCGACTCTTAGACTTCTCGGAGAACTCACGCTTATGACATTCAAAGCTTTGAATTCTTATATTATACCTAAAAATCTAGCGGAATTTTTTCCACTGATTATTGCGTTGGAGGATTCATGCAGGAGAAAAGAGCCTATATATTCTTCACTGTTGACTTTTTCTGCCATTACGATAATATTTTTACATTAGCAGGAATGTACTATGCTAGGTCTACTTTGTGCTGATTTATATGCAAAGTTTTGGTCCATAAATCTCGTGCAAGCTGGATTCACGCCCCAATTACCTGTCCTTTTAGCAATTTTAGTTTGTAGCAAATTGATCTAGATCCTAGAGGATTCGTCTTTGTAGACTGGACCTCACGATCCTTGGGAAATACTGACTTGATGCATAAATTTTGAATAAATAACTGAATAGCAAGTAGATACTGGATCTTGCAGATATTGCCTTCCTAACATTGAATCTGCGATCCATGCACACGTAGTCAATGCATATATTTACATTTGCTGAGCATACTAGAAAAATGAGACGACAGTAGTACGATCTCCATTTTCCACACAGTGATATGCTTAGAAGAAACCCTATACTCTAAGTTGCCTCACGTCGTTTTCAAACAGTTCTAAGACTTGACTTCAGCTTGGAAGTCATACTGCGTTGACCACCTGCCACTCACCAGTAGACTCCATAACAATTGCACGGTTTGTCTTCCCACTCTCCATGCGCAGAATGAACTCTTTCCGATCAAAAGAATCTAAAGATTTCTTTCTGTCACTTCAACATCAGGCACTACTATTCCGAAAAGGAATTTTTACTGGACTTATCCTTCAAACCAAAACACTCACTAACCTTTTACTGTCTGACCCTGGGAAGAATAGTAACTGTTTTCTTTGGAAGGAAGCTGGTGCATCTTCCAGGAACTGTGGATCAAGTTCGTACACATTCTGCTATTTTAGCCCCTCGGACTTCGATGACGATTATCCGATTGATAATTAGCAGTGCGCTGAGTTTTAGACATGTCAATTTCCAGCTGTAAAAACCGGAGATATTACACGTCCACACTTGTCTCTTTACGTTACTGAGGCATATGTTTGATGTCTGCGAGAAACACTCCTTCTGCTGGACCCTGTCATCAACATATTGACTGAATCATCTGATTGCCTTCATGTTCATTCAAGGTTGCAGGGTTGAGAAGACGCATGGAACTATCATCAGGAACTCGAACATGCCCCACTTGGAAATTGATAAAATCTTTGGCGGCAAAATCTAGTGACTGTGAGTCAAAATGATCGGATCATTAGCATGAAGGTTTCTGAAGCTGTACATCATGATTACTAGTGTACTTGGTAAGGAAGGTACTATCATTTCTTTTTATTTTCTGCCAGGTCCAACGATGGGTACAGGATCCGCAGCACCTCATACGACCTCACAGTCAGTGGAATTGCTCAGGTGCAAGTCCTAGCCTGAGAGTTGTTCATTGATGTTCGAAGCATGTCAATTGAGGGATTCCCCAAGTCCAGATAAAACTCACTTCTTTTTACGTAATGTCATGTGACTTGCCCTGCTAAGCAACAGTTCACATACTTGTTTCGTTGATTTGCCCGGCAGATGGCCAAGCCAGTTGTGTGCGCATTCTGGTAATCAGGATTTCAGTTTATCCATATATGAGCTTGGAATCCTGACTCCGAACTTCGAAGTAAGTCAAGTAGGAAGCAATAGAGTTTGTTTGATGTGCGTATACAATCTGATATGTAATTAAAATAAAATGTCGATTGCACGTCAGCGTTCTCCACCTGTTTTTAAGCATCTTCCAGCCTGGAAACGTTTTTATCCTAAAAAAAATCAAATTTCTGTAGGATTCTTTCCCTTCACTGCTCTGCATGTGATATCCCAGTCACATCACATAACATCAGCTGTCACAATTTTGTAGCGTAATTTTGTAGCGACAATCATGAAAGCTTCTGAGCAACTCATCAATCATTAAAAATGAAGAGGGGCGAAGCTATTTGCTTCAGCCCTCCCCTCTCTCCCCTCCGGTTACCGAGTAACCATGGCTTGTGCTGGGGTGGGCGATTGCGTGCAAGAATTCGAAGCTTCGCGTTAGGAAATATCGATCGTACGAGTGCTGCGAGCTCCTTCGGCGGATGCCTCCAAAGACACAACTACAGTTCACTGTATAAAAAAACTTGAGGGCCGCCGTGGAAAACCCCGAATTGGCTGGTAGATGCGCTGAAAAGCAGAACCCGGTCAATACCGGACCTTTTACCTTCTGCATAGAAGATGCGCGGGCTACAGCGGGCGTGAGCTCGTCCTTTCACTTAGAGTCTACGGACTCCAAGTGAAAGATGGACAGATTCCCCCTGGTCCTTCTCTCCCTACATGCACAAATGTAGTACAACAGTTACTGGAAACAAAAATGTTTCTAGACTATCACAGTTGATTAAGAAGTTTAAATTGAACCTTCAAATATACATACAGTGACTCAATCCTACTCAGATAATAATTTATGTGTCAAAATTTGTCACTGATTTTATGTAAAATCCCTCTGAAAACGAAGAGTGGCCTCTGAGTTGCCCACATCAGCCTTGTAAGTGATCATGACTGGTGCGCTCCATGAATGGACACTGTCTGGAGATATTCACCACCGCTGACCATCGCAAATTTAGCTCATTGCAGCTATAGGGACAGAATGGGGTCAGGAGGCGACTCCGTTGTGCAGGTAAGAGTGGAATTAGCTTCGTGAAAGCTGTAGCTGAAATAATTGGGCACCACTAACTTGCGGGTTGTGGCCTTCCTCATCACCGGGTCTTCAAATGAAGAAATAGCACTTTGCACTCCAAGATCGAGTTACCTGAACTCTCTAAAGTCACGGTTGCACAATGGTGTGGTATACTCATTTGTATCTTCAAATTTCGTTTGCAAGTATGCTAAATGAAACAAAGTATTACGTGGCTGCCGATTTGGAGTGCAGAGTATAATTACCCATATGTCATTGAAAATGTAATGTTTATTTAAGCCAGAGGGTATGGACATCTCACAAGGAGAGTTCTTGCAATCAATTAGGTTTTGACACATCTACATATGGTTACACAATGTCATGTTATTATTGTGTTTGTTATGGTTACAAATCATTTTAATGAACTATCACAAGAGTTGATTACTTTCTTCTTCTTTGTTGTGTAGTAAGTGTAGACCTCCAAGCATATGAAAATGGTATGCAGCGATTTAGAATACTCTAATTCTCTGCATCAGAGTATTCCAACCCTAAGATTAAAACTTCTTTCATTAGTGATATTCACATATGGTTCCATACTTTTCTACAATTATGGGAGTTTAGATGAGAACTTACCAAACTATTCAACATACAATATTACTTAATTTACCATATTATTTTTTAACATGTATATGTATGTAACTATTTCTCTAAAGATTTTAGTTTATGGTACACTTCATACGAAAGCAAGAACTTTGGATGTTGTGGGATAAGTTTCTTGGCCTGGATAGTTTGTTCTATTGTGTAAAGACTCAAAGTTTATTCTCATCCTTTTGTTATATTATCTGGTACTTTGAGATTGAGATCATCAAATGTATACACTAGACTTTGGTTTTTTTTGTGTTTCCCATTTCTTTTCCTAAAGACTTCTCCGGAAGCAGTCGGGATCTGCTTAACCATGCCCACACTGGCAACGAAGTTCGCCCGTATTTTAATGGATTATATATTTATTTTAATGGGTCGTCTCCAACAAGCGTTTGCAGTCCAACGGTTAGGATAATTGCCTTCCAAGCAAAAGACCCGGGTTCGACTCCCGGCAGACGCACGGCTGTGAGGACATGATGCGGGACCCGTTCCAGAGTTCCTGTCTACAAGTTCTTGAGAGAATGAGCACACTTCTGAGCCGATTAGTTTTATCAGCGAGGACTCCTTCTTTCCAATTACTTTACAT